ATAACTTCCCATAAAATATGTACACAAAATACATTTATGTGCACTAATCATTTAAAGTCGAGATGTCAATTTTATAAAAATGATGGATCTGGTGGTGGGTGGTAATTTCTAAAAAATTATAAAAATAAATCATTTTACTCTCTTTTAATTTATTAATATTAATATTATATATGTCATATTAGTGATATTTTGTTGGTATTTTTTTTTTTACATTTTATCAACTTTTTTTACGATACTATAGAAATGTTGATTCACCTCTTTTATGTCGATGTCAAATTTATTGACATATAGAAATGTCAATAGATTGATGAAAATGAAAATTTAATAACTCTTGATGCGCACTGGCCTGAAATGGTACAGAGAGTCAATCAGAGTTAGTCAAATAAAAAATTTCCATTTGAATAATAAGTTTGCCCAACTTGGTCTAAGTTTGTGGGATTTTTTTTCTTTAATAGTCAGACAGCTGGGATTCTTGTGTGGTCCTTTAGCAATATCTTATTAAAAGAAGTGATAATAACCCTAAAAAATTATAACATATAGTTTTAATTTAAAGAATGAGCTTATAATATACAATGAAATGGGATTTTGGGGTAAGGACAAAAGAGTTGTCCCATGTTGGGGCATGATCATAAGGGCAGAGGGAAACAAAATAAAACTGGGATTCTCCCATTCAGCCAACACACAAAATAATATAATTAAATATTTTGTGACCAATTAATTACTTTTTTCCCAACATTTTCATATTGTGGGGAAATAGTGTTTTTATTTGTATAAGTTTGGCTATGCGTGTTTGTTTGTTTTTTTTTTTTTTTTCTGGAAAGAAAAAAATCCTGTTTTGTCTGTTTTTTATTTATTTATTATTTATGATTTCTATGAAATTATTGAGCCATTTTTATTAAATTCGATTTTTAAAATTTTTGATAAGATTTTATGTTTAACGTAACAAATTTCTATTTATCCTACTTTTTTAGGAAACTTTTAAATTTTACCCTTATTGCTCTATTTATATTTTACACATACAATATCTCTTTTACTGCATGTAAAAGTTTCAATACTTGATGTGTTTTCTGTAGTTTTCTTTATTCTAAAAACTATATTTTAACTCAATTTTACTTCATGTCTTCTGTAGTTTTCTTTATTCTAATTCTTTGACATTTTTTGCATCGACATTCAAGCAAATTCTTTGGCTTTCTATTTTGTTCTAGGTATATTAATTTTTCTTCCATTTTAGTATTGTTGGGATCTTTTTTCATTTATGTTTTTCTGGTATATCTTTCTTTTTCTTTTGGGTAAACTGCATAAACCACCCCTAAAGTATGGTAGTTGTTGCAATTATACCCCTAAACTTTCAATTGTAAAAATTAAACCCTCAAATTTTGATAAGTGAAAAAATTGAACCCTTCAATATTGAGTTGTAGATAGAAAATAAACCTTCAAATTTTCATGAGTGGTGAAATTGCACCCCTAAATATTTTTAATAGTAAAAATAAAGCCGTTAAACTTAAAAAAATTACATCTATTTTAGTCAATTTCTCTCTGCAAACCCTTTAAATGAGTATTAGAGGGAAAATCAAAACTCTGTCACGCAAAATATTGAAATCTAGATTCTTTTTAACACCAAATTCTCTTAACCACTACTGAAGAATAGGAATGCCCATAAAATTTCACCTCTTCAATCGAGAAACAGATTCTGTTTACCCCTAACATTTGTGTGTAATTGAAAACGTTGAAGACTTATGATTTTGTTTTCTTGGAATTTTTGTTTCACTTCCAAGAAAACAAAATTCTTAATACTTCGCCATTGAATCAATCTGGTTATCTCCTAGCTTACAATTAGTTTTCCACAATTTCCATTTCTACCAGATTAAATGACAAAAATCAATGATGGGAGACTGAGAGAGAAAGTAGAGATTTGAAGGAAATAAGACTAAAACAGATGTAATTTTTTTTTTTTTAAGTTTAAGGGTGCAATTTTATCATTCATAAAAGTTTGAGAGTTTATTTTTTACTGCTAAATGTTCAGGGTTCAATTTTTTCACTTATCAAAATTTGAGGGTTTAATTTTTACAATTAAAAGTTAGGGGTACAATTGCAACAACTACCATAATTTAGGGTGGTTTGTGCAATTTACCATTTCTTTCTCTCTCTCTTTTTGTTTTTGTTTTTTAGTAGTACATATAATAAAATAACTGTGGGAAAAGAAAAAAACATTGCTACAGCGTAAATAAATTGAGGTAAAGAGGGTTCTTTATCTGTTTATGTATTTGTTTTCATTTTTTTAGGATGGCATATCGTATATAACTATAATATTTGAATCAACACATTTTCAAGTGTTTTTTAGTTTTTTAGTTTTTTTTTAAATAAAGTTGACATTTGCAAATTTTAAATTTATCAAGTTTATTTGATTAAATTATTATTCTTTCTATGATTGAAATTATTTATATTTTTTCGGGAACATTCAAACAATAAATTTTAATTTCAAAGATTTAAAATCAATTTGGTTTCAAATGCAATTAGAAATTTGAAATCATTTCCATGGTTTAAAATTGTGGAATTTCAAATCATTTTTGACCAATTTCATACTCTAAATAGAGCATAAATGTCAATGTCCATAGATATTTTCTTAAAATAAATAAATATTAAAATATAACAAATAAATATGTTCTTTTTAAATATGTTAAATATTACTAGTATTAATATTAATTCATATTAGTGATATTTTGTTGAATTTTTTATATATTTTTTGTGATATTATAAAGATATCGATTCACCTCTGATACCTATATTAAACTTTAAACCCATACACATATAAAAAAACGTTCATAAAAATGTAAATATGTCTATGAACATTTGATATCACGTAATAATCAATTACTCTTAATTAGTTAATTTGTGAATAATAATATGAATAGAAATAAAGAAAAATGACTCTTGTTATTTTATTTATCATTTTGGATGTGCACGGAAAAAAATGATTTTGTAGTACATATAATCATGAATGTCTATTTTGGTTAACTAGGTGTAAAAAAATTCTACTGTGCCATGATCGACTGGTCCAACTCAAGTTATTTGGGTCTGATTTAGGTTGGTTAAATATTTATTGGTACGTTAAAAAAAATATATGACAACCTCCCCACATTGAATGTTTTTCCAAATTTTTCTATTAAAAAAAAAATTTTTATTTAGTTGTATTAAAGTTGATGAAATTGAACCATAAACTTAAATAAATACTGCAACTTTTTCCTTCTCGTCAGTATCGCTAATAACTTTAAAAAAGTTAACTCCAACATATCTCAAATGGTTAAAGAACCTATTTCTGACCAAAAGGTTATTAGTTCGAACCCCACCTCCAAAAATTTCTTGCTCAAAATACTTTTATTGAGAAAAAAATGAGATTTTGAAAAACAAAAACCTGTTTTTGAAAACTATTTTTTTTTTTAAATTTACATAGAATTTCAAAATGGTTTTTGGAAAACAAAAAACATAAAATTTAATTGGTTATCAAACAATCCTATTTTCTAAAAACTAAAAACCAAAAATCAAAAATAAAAAATGAAATAATTATCAAACAGGTCCTATAAATAATATTTTAGTTTCGACAACTTTTATAAGCTTAAAACAGGAAAACTATAAAATAAAGAGAGAGAGAAAAAAAAAAATATATATATATATTTCATGAACAGCTAAAACAATATTTTTTTCCAAAAAATAAGGTATTTAAAATTAGTGGTTAGGAGTGGCCATTAAGAAGTGGGTCCCACAGGGTAACTGTCCTCTGTTAGTACACCAAGTGTCCTGCCACGTGAACCAGCCAGCCATCCCATTTCCCATTAATTATTTTCATTTCATTTTATTCTTTAATTTTAAAATTTTAACTACAATATTATTTTATATTTTATTATATAGGGACAAGTCAACCCATAATTCTTCGATAATTTTAAGGTGTTTTTGCAAATATAAAGATGGAGATTCAAATAGTTGAATTACCAATGTCCAAGTTAGTCGAGGTTTATGGTATTGATTTACTTGACTAGTTCATTTCTATATAATGGCTTTGTTAAATAATATATAATAAATATAGAACTAAAATTGTAATATAATTTATGACAACTTAGATATAGTTCAATTGGCTAACGTATGTTATAATTTGAGCATACGTTAATTAGTTAAAGACATGTTTTCGATCAAAATATTGGAGGCTCAAATCTCCACTTAATATGTTGTTAACCTAAAAAAAAATCAAATATATTAACATGAGTATAATGAGTATAGTTCATAATTAAGACACTTATACTTTTTTTTTTATGGTTACCCTTCCAATAATAGTTTTCAATTTAATTTAAAAAAATAGAAAAGTGATTTTAAATAGAGCTACTAAAAGGGATGCCTCTTGTTACCCCCTCCAATTTTTTAGAAAGATAAGTAACGTAACGTCAACACCAGTTCAACTTTTAATTATGGTAAACTACCATGGGTTGGTTTAATCTTTATATCAACTACTTTGAGTTGGTTTAATCTCTTTATAAAAGTGAGGTGAGAAAAGAAAATAAAGGAATTTAGATATAACTTACTAGGTTACCTACTTCAAAAATTTTTAATTAATTAAAGTATTAGTAACTCCTTTAAACTTCTTTAAATTAGATGTTTAAATCATACTGCAACCTTTGTTTATCTTAAAAAATCTAAAGTTGTCGACCTCTCAATTGGTCAAGACCGATCAAGCAATAAGAAGTTATAACAAGAAAATGAAAATTTATTTTTTAAAATTATAAGATCAAGTTTGATATTTTTTATAGTACGATAAATAGACCGTAAAAATTCGAACTCACGACTCTTGAAACTTTAAAATTTTTAAAATTAGGTCAAAATATGTGGGGGAGAAATGAGAATTGGATTTGGCTTCACTAATGGACTTCGGCAAATTTCAAAATTTGGTGCACTCTGATTAAAGAGAGTGAGAAAAAATATGTGGCACAATGGCAGCCATAACTACTTTCGAGAGTTCGGCAATGGAGCTCTGGCTGGCAGTTGGGCAACATCTATTGCCTAGATCAGGCTCCAAGTTATTCCAAAGAAGCTCCAAAATGGATGCCTCTGGCGTTCAACACTCGTCGTTTCCAAACTCAATCGAGATATGAAACTTCTGATCCGTCTGAATCAGCCAATGTTCGCCGCTGGAACCCTCAGATCGTTAGCAGCTCGGAGAGCTAATTTTTCCTCTGCTGCTGCCAAATGGGAAGGCGGAGTTTCCATGGTTCAAGGAGCTTCCAGAGGAATTGGCCTCCAATTCGTGAGATTTTCTGTCTTTTCCTCCTCGTATTTCTCTTTCGCGAACCTTTACTTGCTATTTGCCACGGAAATTTCTTTGGAATCCATGATATGTTTACCTGATTTCAATGAAATCTTTCAATTTCTTGTTTCTTCTCCTGTTTCTATGGTGTAGACTGTTGTAAAGTACTTGCTTAAATTGGTAATTGGTTGCTCTACATATCAATTTATCTGAAAGTGGTGTGAATTCTAATCCAAATTTCTCTAACTCGTTAGTCAATACTTATGTTTGGTTGTAGCTTAACAAATAAAAATTGACTTCAAACTTATTTTGATGTAGGTTAGACACCTGCTACAGAAGAATGAAAAGGGACATGTTGTTGCTACTTGTCGCAACCCTGGAGAGTCTACAGGGCTCATTGAGTTAAAAGACAAGTTTTCTGAGCGCCTTTGCATTCTAGAGTTGGATGTGACCAAGGAAAGCACCATTAAGGTTTCGCTCTTTTTCTTAAACATGGTTTTTGTCTTTGACTGTAAATCATTAAATTGGTTGACATGGTTAGTTACCTTTTTATTGGTAGTTTTGTTGGGTATGGTATGGATGGAGGTAGAAGTTTTGATTGACGTGGTACTTCAAATCTATACCTGTTCACGTTTCAAATGATTCAAACTAGCTTTTGGATACTGATGCATCCGGGTCCTTTCAGATGGATGGAAGCTTTTTTTCTGAAACCCAAATAAAAGTGGAATAGGAAAACAGTAACAAGTTTGAAGCCTTGAATTTAGGTGGTTGTGCAGTAATTGATATAAAGTTCTGGATTTGGAAATCTTCTCGGTTATGAATTAACTAATTCTTTTAACTCTGCATTTCATGTAAAATTTGTAATATTCGTCTGTCGTCCGATGTTTTATTGCATTTCAGGCATCTGCAAAGTCTATAGAAGAAAGATATGGCTCACTGAATCTAGTTATTAATGCATCTGGCATTCTTTCAATTCCTGGTGTACTCCAACCAGGTATTTCTAATGAGAATTTAACATCACTTGGCGATTCTAATAGCATACGTAAACAGTCCCCACCAATACCGTGCCTATTAAGTATTAACGGCCACATTTTGGAGAATTTGGTTCAAGAGGAATTAGATGGTTTTCAAAGAGAACTACTCAAGTCTTGAGGAATTTTGGGATTCTGTTAGACTCTTTGCATCCATCTGGTGTTCTCTTGTTTGCTAATTACGATCTTGTTTGCTAATTGAGATTCATTTTTGTAACCTTTTGGCCTTGTGGGGATATCTCATCTCCCCTTTTGTATGATTTTTCTCCACTTATATATTCTTTTGTTTCCATTTTAAAAAATAAAAAAAAATGTCCCCATCATGCCTTCCATATTTAGTTTTTATGGTTTTTCATGTAACATAGTAACCAACTTTTTTGTACCCAATCATAGGTTCATTTTAGCTCGTATAAACGGATTCAAGTCAGTTTATCCCTTTTCTTCCACCTAGACTTAAAAATGAGATATATTCCTGATCCACATGACATAAATGAGATAATTGAAGATAATATTTTTCTCTCGTGGTTCATGAAACTAAGTAATCATGATCTAAGCCATTGGTCATGCTTTGGTCCCAATGCAGAAACTACCTTGACTAAAGTGGAGAAGACTTCTTTGTTGCATGCTTATGAGGTTAATTCTGTTGGTCCTATCCTTGTGATCAAGGTAAAACTCATTCAAAGGCCATATTCTCTGTCTGTAACATTAAAGATATATGCTCACTCCAATCAATCTTGCCTATGGCAATTATTCCTATATTTTGCTAGAAATCCGTTTCCTTTTTATTTAGTTGAAACTACATCCGTGAGGATGCTGAACAGCTGAAATAATTTCAAGATAGTTATTGCTGTTGGTACTATCGGTTGCTCTATTTTCATTTGGGAAAAGGAAAAAGAAACTTTTCTTTCAACGAGATATTAACTATGCTTAGTCTGAAGGATGTTTAAAACAAAACACCAATTGAAAGTTTCTCTATCTGAAATTCAAGTATATGGTCCCAAATTGTTCACTTGTATAGCAAAGTTGTAGTTACAATTTATTTTTGTCAGTCATTTTATATTGTTGGTGGATATGACAGCATTTAGAACACTGACTGCTGTGGATTATGATTTATATGAGCAGCACTTGTGGCCTTTCCTTAAAGCTGGAGGAGGTTCTGGAACAGAAAGAGATGTTGCAGTCGTTGCCAATTTAAGTGCTCGGGTGGGATCCATTGGAGACAATTGTCTTGGGGGTTGGCATTCTTACCGAGCTTCAAAGACTGCACTTAACCAATGTATAGTTTCTAGCGGTCTTTCTATTAACCAGTTTTCCTTTCATTAAATGGTTAAAGTTCAATTATAACACACTAAAGGAGAAAGAAAAAAGATGATTTTTCTGATTATATACATTTTCTTTTGTCATCAGCTTTGCGCTAACTTGAGCTTGAGATTTTTCTTGTTTATCGTGAATATTACTTATATTCAGCTATCATGTTTTCTTCAACCAAGAAAAATAAAAGGCCACCTACTAAATTCGCACACGCATACTAAAATAAGCATAAAATAATGAAAAAGGTAATTTTGTCAAAACCCAAGATTGATATTGTTCTAAAGGAGATCAGGTTCTGTTGATCCGTTGTTTATATTAGATATTTTATGAACTTGTTATGAATTTTGAGTTCAAATTATAATCTGAAATAACCCTCCTTTTTGCTTTCAGTGACAAAAAACGTATCTGTGGAATTTGCCAGGAAGAAAGATCCAATCATATGCATATTATTGCATCCAGGCACAGTGGACACAGATCTATCTCGGCCATTTCAGAGAAATGTTCCAGAAGGCAAACTTTTTACTAAAGATTTTTCAGTCCAAAAGCTAATGACCATTATCAACAATGCAAAGAGCCAAGACAATGGGAAGTTCTTTGCTTGGGATGGTCAGGAGATTCCTTGGTAATATGATCTTTTATTTAGTAACACAATATTATGGATATCTATTTTAAGCTCAAGGGATTCATGTACTGGAAGATCTATTCTATTTATTAGCTTTTAGAGCTCAGGTGATCACGGTTGTTTCAATGAGAGAAAATCAAACTTGGGCGTTGTTCTGCTTCGATTTTATGATTATTTTATACATTTAATAAATACAAAGTCTCAAATGTTAGGAACTTGTAAGAAGAAGCGAGAACTTGAATTATTGAATTATTTTCCGAGTACCAAGGCTAAAATCTTTTGATTTAATTAGAGCAAAGTTTGTCAAGTAAATCATTCATTTAAACACAGATGAACATTCTTTCTATCTTGATAGAATCCTTTTCTGCCTTCCTCTCTCAGTTTCCTGCATCTTGTGATTACTTGACAATCTTTTTACAGTGTCAAATATGTACTTCAAGTTCAGCTGATGCCCACTTGATTGATCTGTACACATTAATGCCAGGTTCAGCGCCATTTTAGCTTGATTCACCATGCCTTCTCTTTGTAGTTCAATATCCTCATTGATCACTGCCTGAAAATTCTCGGGAAACTGCATTCTTATATATCCAATGGAACCAGATTCGCCTCGCTTTATCTCATCCCGCAGCTGTTGATTCACTATCATTTCGAGCAAGAACACACCAAACTTGTAGATATCTGATACATTGATTATCATGTTAACTTTCTCAGTTGATATACCGTAGTCATGAAAACATGTTTAGATAAGTATATAGGGCGGTTTCATGGATCGCCTATTTTCATTCCAAAAAGTGATTATAAGAGCACGATAATACGCATTTCACAAGCTGCAATGTAATAGGACAAAGCAAAGGTAAAGACTAGAGTTGGTTTCATATTGGCTTACTTGAGCTGCAATTTTGATGACCCAATTTGAACCTTGAAATCAGTGGAACAAGCTTTCTGGACAACAAGAGACTGCTTGTCCTGAGATCATAATCAACAGAAGGCCATTCCTCCTCCAGATACACCATGCCTTCCACCACTCCCTTGGCTACTTTCATCCTGTGTTTCCATGGCGGAGGCAACCTCGACAACCACATATCGACACTCTCCTCCTTGGACCACTCGATAACAATGGCTCTCATTTGTCGGTTAGCACACCAGCCCAGTACTTTCACCAAGTTTTTGTGGGACAATTGGGTTAAGGTTTTGCATTCTTCAATGAACTCTTTCTTACTTTTCCTTGCAATGCCATTCCTGTACATTTCTACCCTCACTTCAATCCCATCTCTTAGAACCCCACTGTAAATATCGACTCCCTCACACTTCACCATCAAATTTTTCTCTGAAAACCCATCGGTCGCGGCCACGAGCATTGCCGGTGTAAACTTGTGCTTCCTCCTCAATATCCTTGGCAAGAAATCAGGCCTGTGGAAGCAAAGCCAAGCCAAGAACCACACCATCAGAATCACAAGAATGGGAAACCCAATCAACAGGATCACAACCTTCATTTTATGCTTCCTATGATTTGGGAGAAGACCAGAACTTATAAAACTCGACGAATTAAACCGTTTAAAAATCAATCCAGAATCAGAGATCCTACTCTCAGAGAACTGATTGTAAGATAGGTTCAAAACAGTCAGATTAGCAAGATCGGAGAAGATCCGAAACGGGACTTCGCCATCGAGATCATTCCGGCTAAGATCAAGAGCCTGAATCTGTTTACATTCCAAAACATCAACAGGGAAACCACCCTTCAAAGAATTGTTCGACAAATCAATCGAGAGAATGCTCAAAGGGCAGTACTTCCAGAAGAAGTGAAACGACAAATACAGAGGAGCAATCATCGGGCGGCTGCGGAGATTGATTTTCGGAAACGACTCGACGCAATTGGGGTTTCGGGATTCGTTGCAGAGATGGCTAGCAACAATGGAGGACTTGAAGATCTCAATGAGATTCATTGGAGAAGAAGAGCAGTAGCGAAGAGAAGGGTTGGAGAGACAGTTGTTGGAAATTGTGGAGTTGAAATCTGGAGGTGGGTGTAAAGTGTTGAGATCTTCAATGACAGAGGCAGAGAAAATGACAGAAATCAAAATTGCCATTGTTAAGAGGAAGAACATCAAGTTTGCAGCCATGGCCGCCATTGATGATTTGGAGATAATAAGGTTGGGTTGGTCGTTTGGGAAGTTTAAGAAACGACATGAAAATGTTTGGATAGTTTTTTAACTGTTCTGCGAAGATTCTGACGGTTAGTGATAAAGTAGAAAGTGGGAGCCGCCATTTTCGGGGGCTATGGCGGTTATGTTGGAGGAGAGAGACCATTAAAAACGGGAAAAAAAAACCCTTTTTTTTGTCTAGATAATATATTCATAACATAGTTACCTTAATAATTACGAGTTCCTGTTTTACTTTGTGTTTTGTTTGGCTTCCAAGAAAACTTATTTTTTCTCGGGAAAGTTTGGTGTTTTCTCGAGAAACAGAGCAAATGGCATAGAACTTATGAGTAACGCTTTTGCAGTTTCTTCCATCTGCTGCTTGTAAAATAGAGAATTGGGTGTTTGACAGCCAGGAAAATTTGCAGAGAAAACCTCCCAAATCCGCTGTTCAGACAAATGGTGCAAGAAAAATGAAACAGGGTTTCATAACTTTTCATTTAATCAAATGGAGAAAAGTTACAAAGAACAGTTAAAATCACAAGGTTAGCATCTAATCAAAAATTATACTCTAAACTAAATGGTTAAAACAAAAAAAGAAGCCTGAAAACTTAGATTAGCTGCTGCTACAACAACAACAAGAACAAAACAGAAACTGACAGAAGAAAGCTCTGTTACTGCATATGAAGCATCTGATTGATGGAGTTGAAAATGGACGGATGCGATTGAATCTCTGGGAAATTTGCAAGATTTTGGACGAACCCTTTTGGAACCAAACACTTTTCTTCTGCGTAGAGCTTCTCTTGAACCATGGCGGATTCAAGAATCTGCAGCTCCTCTGTTTCTTCTTCTTCTTCTTTTTCTTCTTTTACTTGCTCTGTTTCTTGCATAAGTTGCAGAATCCCCACTTGGGCTTGCAAGAATTTGACATATTTGAATGCAGAGTGCAGCATTTCAGCAGTGTTCATCTTGTTCCCCCCCGGAATCAGCTCGCCGAGCTCCTGCGTCTTTGCCGTTATCTTCCTCCGCCGCTCCCGGGCTGCGATCGTCTGCGCCGATAACGTGTTACTCGGGGACTGTTTACTCTTCAAGCAAGTGCCAGCATTCATCGTTTCAGCATTGTTCATTTTGTCGTCCCACGGCACCGGAAGCAACTCCGGCAGAGGAGGAAAGTATCCTCCACCTCCGCCACCGCCACTGCCACCGTAACCGAAATTCTGCTCCGACACGATCCTCTGGCGTTTGGGGCAATGTAGCTCAAATTCATCAGACGGGAAGAATTCGGTGGAGACGGGAACGAAGCAATCGGCAATGGCAGGAGCAGAGAAGTAGGGATAGACGTCGGAGAAGAAGAACGACGACGAGGCGTCGTCGTCGAGTAACGGCGGGAAAAAGACAGTGTTGTCGACGGCGGTGGGGAAGTAATCGAAGGCGGGGTCGGGGAGGAGCTGCGGCAGAGTTGGGGTTAGATAGAAAAGCTCCGGCGAGAAGTCGGGGGAGAAAAACAGGGGATCGGAGCAGAAATTGGAGTAAAAGCTGAGAGCCGCCATTGAAGAGAAGAGAAGAGAATTGGGGAAGAAAAAGAGAAAATTTTGGGTCAGAAAATATTACAAAAAAGGGATAAAGAAACTAAACAAACTAACTTTGAAAGTTGAAATGTGAGTGAGATTCAACTTCCTCTGTTCATCCATAAGATATAGGAGAGAGAGAGAGAGGAGAGAGAGAGAATTAAGGAATCAGTTATGGAATTAGTAGCTAATTAATGGGCGAGAAACCCCCAACTTCTTCCCCCACGATTCTCTCTCTCTTCTGTGGAGACTGCCACGTGTACTTTCTCTCTGCTGTGATGTGTAGAGAGAGAGAATTAGGGTTTTTGATGATCAAAAACATAAAAACAGTTACTTTGGAGGAGAGAGATGGATTGCCTTTGGCGGCTCCTTTGTGGATTTACACCAATAAAAAAAATGTTAGCTTTAGTGGTTTTTTTTTTTTAAGGTGATTTGGTTGGTTAAGACATTTAGTACTATTGTTGGTTGGAAGAGAGTTTGTGTTATGAATTTCAAATTGGTGTTTTTCTTTTAAAGGTTTAGAAAAATACTATTTTTATCCTACTTTTAGTTTGGATGTATTTTGGTCATTGACTTGTCTAAATTTTTCAAATTGAAAACGGCTACAACGAAATTAAAATATGTATTTGACTAATAATAAAATTTAGATCGAAATATATTTTTTGTGTTTGACGTTTGAGCTTAGAATCTATTTGATCTCTAAGATTTGGAAAGTGGTTTTAAATTATTCAGAGAGTCATTTGATCGACGGGAAGAATGTTATGGTAGTTATTTGTTGATTCAGCCTTGTTGATTTGACAAACTATATTAAAGTCTCGTTTAAACAAAAGTGATTTGTATATCTATTCTTTTACCTACTTGACGAAGGAAACGAATTGACTTTCTTACTTATGCGGTACTTCGACCGTTAAGCCTCATTGCTTATCTTACTCTAATGAGATGAGAATCAAGGAACAATAATTGAAATTTTTTGATGTGGATTTAGACCAACGAAAAAAAATAACTTCAGCGGTTTTTTTCAAAAGAACTTAATTTAGTTTGTTAAGACAGCAGTAGAAGACAGAAGTTTGAGTCTTGAATTTCACCTGTAAGAAAAAAAGTGGTATTTTTTAAAAAAGGTTTGAATATTTTTTGTCCTTTATTTTGTTTGATCCTACTTTCAAAATATTTATTTTGATTTTTATCAATTAAAATTTTTAAAACTAGACGAATGAACTGTTTTCAACGAATCAATAGTTGGGTGCCTGGCTGATGAAATACATCTTCAGAATACCCGAAATAGTATTTGTTTTTTAAAAAAAAGTAATTAATAATTATGGAGTTATTTTATAAATGTATGTTTTAAATTTGGTACATTTAATTTTAAGTTTCTTTATCATTATTATTTGATGTGGATGATCTAGGGTTGATAGTGTGCTATTTATGTAAATAATCATATTAGAATTTAGAAGTACGTAGAGATTAATTGCGACTATTGAATAATTTCAAAATTCCGAAAAGTTTATAAATATATATATTTTTTTAAAGAAAAAGGTAATTAATAATTGTGGAGTTATTTTAGAAATTATATTGAGATTACTTGCAACTTTTTTTTTTTTCATTTAAAGTTAAACATCTATTTGTGTCTTTAGAATTGTAAAAAGTGACAATTTTGAAATATGGTAAAATACATTTTTGGTTCGAAAATAGTTCTAAATGGTCCCTAAAGTTAAACTTCCATTAGCGGAATGGTGACGTGGCAATGGTGAGTGGTATATTTAATGATTTTAAATTATTTTATATTTAATATAAAATTATTAAATATCAAATGGAAATTTAACCCGGACCATTTAGAACTATTGTTTAAAGGTTAAGGACTAAACTAGGGATCAAATAGAAATCTATCTCGAACTAAAAGTATGTTTTACCATTTGAAATTTGATGCACAATGAGGAACACTTTAATATAGATTTATGTCTACGTTCAAAAAATTTTGTGAGGGAAGTGTTATACTAAAATTGTGATGGAAAGAAATGACATAAAAAATGAAAATGAATCGACAAAAATGATCCCTTTTTAAAAGAACATGATTTAAAATGGATGTTGGACTAAAATGAAAAAAAATCAAAATACAAAGTCCAAAATAAATCATATGAAAGAATACATTACATTGAACTTTTTATTTTTAACTAATAAGTTCTTACTAGAGATCAAATTTTGTCTTTTATTTAGTTTATTTGAAGGATACTTGTTGGTTAGTTTGGTTTGAATAGGTTTTGCCGATTCGATTTCAATTCGGGCATGGTCAGGCAATTGGTTCGGTTGGTTATAATTTCAAATTTTGAGACATTTCGTAGTTTGCTGGACGCTTTTTTTGCTTTTCATGAAGATTATGTCGATTCAGTATCGATTATGGCTTTAAGAAACGATCCAAATCGAACTGCTTACACCCAACCGAGGCTAATTGAGGAGAGGGAACTGAGATAAATTTGCAATGAAATCAGGGTATAAGTTAAAAAATTTTAATCTGTTGAAATAAGCAAAGTCTTTACAGTTGACATGCCCAACAACACCAGACTTTATTGAACAAACGAATATATATACACAAGGCTTTCACAAACAGAAACAAAAGAACATTATGGTTGGTAGCAGAGGCATGGACTCATAATGCCAATAGTCAAAAGTTTCTAACTTTTATCAAAAGAATGGATCTTCAACGAAAATGGACACTGTTATGCTTTTAAGTGGAAAAAGAAATATACATGTATATTCTATCATCAGCATGATTCCACAATTGGATTCAAAGCTTGCAATTCAAACAGCTTATAAGACAACATTAAGCATTCTAGGAACTAGTTCTACTAACCAGGTTTGAGAACATCCATTCCAGCCACATTCTTTCAAATCCAACAAGAACTACATTGTGACGAAGCCATCGATTTGAGAAAATTCGAATGTGTTTTCATCCATTAATGGAGAGCTTAACAAAACCAAAGTTCAGGAGTCCATCATTTTCTAAAGAATAAGAGGCCTTTGGCAATTACAGTAACCAATATCTCAATCCCCAGTTGTCCAGTAGGTTCTTCTGCTGCTCTTTCCACCCCGAGTTATTAGGGTAGTTTGCACGGTATTACCGAGTTTATATTGTGCAAATTTTCAACAAGAACCTACTTGTTCCCCTCATTTGCTTCAACGCCTATCATTCGAATAAGCCATACCTGTTTACTTCACCGCCTTCCCATAACCAGAGGATCCCTTCTTCCTCTTACCAAGCTTTCACTTAACAAGAGATTTCATGAAGGACTTCATGTTCTCAGTATCTTCTCTTGATTCTGGATGTCTTTGTGGTTTGAAAACCTTCCATAGTCCGATAGGATGCCTACTCGGGCTCTTCGTTTCGTTATCTCCCACGAATTTACCGAACATCTTCCCACACTCTGGATAAGGCTTTACAAACAGATTGTAGAATTTGAGCCTGCTAGGCTTGATAATTTCTCTCAAACCAACCTGAGAACCAAGCCAGCCTTTTGATCCCAAATATTCAATCACATTGTAACGAGGAACAATCTGCTTTTTGAAATTGATGCCCAAATATTCTGGAACATCCATCAAACATTCAATACCAAATTTCATCTTATGGATCAAGAAGCCAATCTTCTTCTCAATGTTCTCTATTTCATAAGTGACCAACCTCGGTTCTTTCCATAGCAATTTAAATGCCTCTGTACGAATTAGCCCTTTTTTACATAAACAGTCGATCCGCTGTTTCACTTCAAATGCAGCTCTGAAAGCACCATCTCGGAAGATTTCATCCTTAATCGAGTTCCTGCATTTTAGATTTCCAAGCAACTCTAGGCATCGCGAAAGTTCTCCTAATTCTGTGCCTAGAATTTTTGGTTCCCTAACAATTTCTCTTGCAATCACGTTCTGATCAAACCCCAAATCCTCGAACTCAGAAACCAAACTCTTCAATCTGCCGTCAACTCTAAATCCTAGAACTCTAGGGAGCGAACGAATGATCCGATCAATTCCATCCCTTCGGATTCCAATTCCCATCAGGAATTCAATCGTTCGTGAGATTTCTTGCTCGTTAGACAACAATATTTCAGGGTAATCCTCTAAAACCCCAGTTACAGCAGCGTCACTAAGCCCTAAACGTTTCAAGAAATTTACAGTTCTATGAAAAATACTCGGGTCCAGATTGAACCGTCTGGACAATATAAGCATATTCCGAGCACTGTGTAATCCAATTTGGGACAAACTTACCTCCCATTTCTTCAGAAATTCCAAGTCCAGTATTGCGGGACAGTCAAGCACCATGGAAACAAGATCCTCCGGGAGAAATCCGAAGGATAATAGAACAGCTACAGAACTTTCAACATCCTGCAAATTGGAGTTCCTCGAGAAAAGATGATTCTTCGAAAGGAAATATTGCATTTGGGATGATGTGAATCCAGACTTGTGGAGAAGATTAGCGAGTGACCCTTGCTTCGAGTTCTGCATATGAGAGGAAATTTTGGGATGATAGGAGGTGGAACTGAATTAATTGAAATATTCAAAACTTGAATCCAAAATGCCATGTATTTTCCAATACTTCATTTCTAATTCAAAAGAAGAATATTCAAGAATTAAAGGCAGCTATAAAGGGAAAAAAATTACAAAGTATCATATTATAATTTATGCGATTGATATGTTCTTGCACAATATAAAGAAGCAAACTTTATCAATACAGATTTAAAATGCAATTTTAGCATACTTAGATGCCATTAAGCGTATGCTATCCTAAGACCAACGCTCCATCAAGAGTACGAGTCAATAACAACTCACTTTACCTGATTATCGGATCTTTTCTGCATAACAGAATTTCTTAACAACGTGTTTTTGGAAATCAGTCGCTCAGCAAAGTAAGCAACCAGCGGAAACAAGAAACATGATTATTTTCTCTATGTTTCATATTCAAAAGATACAACAATTGCAAATGTAATTGATAAATATATACCGAAGGAAATTTTTGTATTAATGACTAGTTTACAAAATTATTTTAAATCCTTAGAACAAATTTCATTTGTTTAAAGAAAATATTCTCAAGGCTGATATCTAATATTTTGAACTTCTTGATTTAAAGAAAAATAAGTGTTTTTAATTTAATAAAATGTAGGATTGCAATAAGGGATAAATTAATTGACGGGCACCTATAAATAATATATTCACAACACCGTAGAATAACAAACATACATGCTGTAACAAATACCAGATTGCAATTATTTTCATCAAAATGAAGAAAAATGAAAATCTCGACCCACCTCGTCACACAGTGGTTCAAGTTGTAGACTCTCAGCTGTAATTTTCCGTTTTTTCTTGTTAATTGCAACTTGTCCCAAGCTTCCATATGATGACCGACCATCAGCAAAGGCCTGCCATCAAAAGCTATGCTAAGCCAAACAACTCAATCAAGCATTACAAAAATCGTAGCAAATTTTAATTATAAGGACCTATTGGCATTTTAATAGAATATTTTTCCTTCTTTTTTTTATAAGAAACAAAACTTTCATTGAGAAAAATGAAAAGAGATACAGGACGAACAAAAAGGGGTTAAAAAAAACAGCCCTGAGAGAAGAGCATTACTGGAAACCGAATCTTTCACACTATCACACGGTTTATTTTTTACACAAACACCCCAAGGGGAGTATTGAACCTAGTAGTATACCACACTCCTCAAGGAATCCCTGCCCCTTAAAAAATTCTCTTATTTCTCTCAAATAAGATATTTCACAAAATAGTAAAAATGGTTGTCCTTTGCAAGACTCCTCTCTCATCCAAGGATGGAACAACACCTACTCGAACATTGAGTGGCATGATATTTGGCGAGCCAAAAGCACACCAAAGGTCTAATAAAAGATGCCAAATCAAAGTTGCAAATTTACAACTCTAGAACACATGGCCCAGACTCTCAAAAGAGGTTTAAATAAAACACAGCAGCCAACAACATGAAAAGTCTATTGAATAGAATCAATAGTGTTAAGCCTCCCATGTGACCTACAAGATAGACTCTAACCTTCAACAACGAAGAGAACAAAGACGGCTCAAAAAGAAATGAAAATTTCAGTTGATATTTGAAAGTTTCGACAGTGAACAAAGAAGCCACAGAGCATTTGAACCACATTTCTGTGTGGTATATCCTCACAGACTTTTGGAATTCAAAAGCTAAGCCCGAAGGCGATTACAATCAACACCCCACCAATTCGAGAGGGTGGGTAACTCTCCCAAACTCTACCTTACACAAGAAACTTCGATATCCTCCTAATCCTTCCCATGGTGTATTTCTACCCTCCCTCACTCCCGGCCTACATTCTCTCTCCAGGCCGTTACACGTGTGTGCCTCAATCATTCTCCCCTCCATAGTATAATTCCTTTCCTACCCCTACGAGAATATGTTTTAGTTATTGGGGTCTAACAATTTCCATCCAAATAAATGTAAAATTCCCAAGACAGTCTGAAAATCTGTAGAAGAGTGTTAGAATCCATATAAATGAATTAAATTTACCCAACCCATCAGCTTAAGCTTTTGGGTTGAGTGGGGGTTTATTCATTCTTAAGATGGTATCAGAGCGGGAGGTCTTGTGTTCGAACCCCTGCATTGTTGTTCCTCCCCATTTATTATAATTTCCACTTGTTGGGTCTTGATGTTGTTTTCCAAGCCCACAAGTGAGGGGGAGTGTTAGAATCCATATAAATGAATTAAATTTACCCAACCCATCAGCTTAAGCTTTTGGGTTGAGTGGTGGTTTATTCATTCTTAAGAAAGAGAGACCTAAATCTTCATGCTAAAAGGACAACTTATGAAAGATTCTGAAATATTTGAATGGCAAAATACAAATGTTTAAAACAAAAACAAAACTATCCTATCAAAAAATGAAGCCAAACAATAATTGAACAACTTCTCAAAATCAATCCTAAGTGAAAGGGCATCTGTTAAAGGTTCAAAATGAACCTTAAACAGGAATAAAGTAAATTGAATAATGAATGATACCAGAGTGCGGCCTTTCCAACCACATTTTGCACAAAAGCAGATCCAAACAGCAGCCCCCCTGGTCATTTGGGAACAAAAATTAAAAACCTAGAATACTCAAAAAAGATAAAATCGCAGAGTATATTCATGTCAATGCAATTGAAGGAAAAGTCTGGGATGGACAAGAAATCCAGTCACTTATTGTACATAAGAAACATAGCAATTTTATTGAACACAATAATAAAGGAAATAAATCAGACTAATGTTAATGGTGGACGGACTATCAGTTTAGGTCCTATAAACTTGTCTGATACATGTATTTAAAGAAAAACAGAAACATAATATTTTAATACATTTTATTTTATTTTTTATAAAAAATCTAACAAAAAAATAGTTCTAACGATGAAGAAGAAGATATAGTGAAGGATGGATGAGAGATAAAGTTGCAGTACATCTAATCTAAATATGCTTGCAATTGCACTTGAAGAACTGAAGAGTCAAAGTGATGGACAAGGATTACAGCTACTTTTCCTACATAAGGAAGATAATTCAGTGAACATGAGGGTAAAAGGAAAGAACTGGAGCAAGTGTTAGTGGTAGAACTACAAGTCCAGGGATCTATCAAGTGTTTTCAGATAATTTTAGAAAATTAATTCAAGAATGAATTTAATTTAAATTTTTAGAAATTGGCAAGTGTTAGTGGAAGAAAGATACAATCCTAAAAGATAAGCCCAACGAGTAACAACCTTATGTCATCTAAATGCTAGAGAGTCTGATTATAAAGTCAGAATGTGAACAATCAGATGTCACCCAAGCACTGAATACCTTCCACAAAAACATTTTTCTTTTAAAGGAAAAACTACCAGTATAAGAAATACAAAGATTATGAGAAAAACTCAACGATAGAGAAGCCATAAAATCATACCCATCTTCTGAGATATATAGGGATAAGGACCTTTCCCCTGAATCACCACCTTTGCACTGGCACCAATTTGACACGAAATTAAATCACAGCATGCCATTAAAAAACCTATCTTTTCTCACTCAAAAGATATAACCAACATATGAAGGCAACAAGTGAAACAAATTTATTGGAGCAAAAAATAAAAAAGAACATGTAAAAAGCCAGTTTCAGCTATAACTTCTCGTTCTTTGTGTAACGAAATAGCAGGTTGATAAAGAAGTGTCAAAATGTGAGAAGATAAGCGAAGATCCAGGATCATTATTTGCCCTGTTGTAATTTATTCATGAAGAAATCAAGCACTAAACTCTAAAGAAAGGGACTTATTGAGGCCGTTTCAAACTCTCAGCCGAATGGAAGACAGACACTCCACTTTATCACATGAATAATTTTGCACAAGAATGACATAGAAGCTTGCAGACTTTTACAAATTGGCTAAATATCCCAAAATGGAGCACAGTCCGAATAAAGAAACAAATATTTGAAACCCAATACCATGGGGCAAAGCAGGTGGTTCGTCTGCCCTGGAACACAAGATTCGGTGTTGATGTTAAGTTCCTCCAATTTTTTCCTCAAAACATTCAATTGAGTCGAGCTTAAACCCTCGTCTAGTGGATTCTCCAAAAAGGCAGCAATTCATGAAAAAGAGATGCAAATAACATTAAAGATAAACAGACATAAAGTCCTCCCCCAATTTCTGAATACATCATCAGCAAAATACACAAAAGAAGTGAAACGTCAGTTTTGCTTCCACTACATGGGGATTAATCAGAAACCATCATAGACCAAACTACGCTTCAAAAACCATTAACAGCTTCAATATTAGTACCTGGGGGCCCGGGAACATTGGCATGAGAAGTAAAAGGAGAGACCCCATTTGTTTTCATGGAAAAGGGTTTACGAGGGGACATGGGTTGCACAGGAAATGAACCATGGAGAAGAAGATTGGTTCTGTACAGGAAATTCCTCTGCCAAGAACAATAAGAAGAAGAAGAAATGTGAGACAGGAACACCAGAGAAGGGGACTTGCACAAGGGAATGGAACCCATTAGATTGAATGAGGACGAAAGGGAAGAGAGCTTGGTGAGGGGGCTATGGAAACACTGATTGTGGTGAAGAAAACGCATGTCTGGCTTGGTGGGTTTAGGGTAATTGGCTGGCTATGGCTTCCATTTAAGCTGGGCTCCTCCTCTACAGGGTTAATATAGAAGCTGGAGAGTGAAGAAATTAGCAGGAAATTGAAGCGTATTCTGCTGAAGGAGGAGGAGTTGTGAATGTGAGCGAAGAGTTGCTTTGAGTTTCGCGCGCTGTAAAATCGCGACTACAACTGCGACTTCCTTCCGAAAACAAATGAACCCACAAACAAATAGCGGCGGCCGGCGGGGAGACGCTTTTTTTAGGAAATAAAAAATAGTTCTTTACGATAGGTTATTAAATAAATTGGAATTTTGGGATAACAAATTTAAGGTAAATTACTTTTTTTTTTTTTTAGAGAAGAGGTAAATTACTTTTATAGGTTTAAGGTTTGGAAAACACTTACGGATAGTCAACAAAATTGAAATGTCATATTTTATAGGTTTAAATAGATTAGTTTACTTTCGATTTTTGTTGATTTTAATATTTATATCTATTTTTATCTATTCATTTTTTTTATCTCATTTTTTTCGATTACATTTTTAAGGTAATACTTTATTTACTAAATTTTGTAAAATATAGTCATAAATTAATACTAAATGATTTTCAATGTATATAATTTTTTATTTATTTTAGAAATAGTGATTAAATTTATCACTTTATAGAAATCAAATTATACGTTTTAGAAATACAAAGATTAAAATAAATAAGAATTCGAAGTATAGACCATAACGATTTGAAAACGCAATGACTAACTTAAAAAAAAAATCAATCCTATTTTATAATATAAAAACTGATGTGGCACTTTTAAAAGCTGTAATAAAAAAAATAGAAAAAGGGAAAATATCTCTCTCTAGTCTCTCATCTCCACCTTCCCCTTTCACTCTGCTTCTGAAACATCGGTTTTCAACCCTCTAATTTCTTCCCCAATCTTTATTTACAGCAAAATTGAGTTTTCTCTTATAACGATCATTCAACATTAAATATGGTATGAAAATTACTCCACATTTATTCATATATTATTAACTAAATATATTACATGCAATCCATGTCTATCTTTCCTTATCTTTCCTCGGTAATTCAAATCCCTAACTTTCTTAATCGACTACTTTGGTGCATGTCATTTATTACCATAAATTTAACTAAATATTTTATCTATCTTATTTTTTTCAGTTCAACTTGTGAGGGTAGGAATTCAACCTCCGATTTGTTAGCCTATAATAATTTCTTAACTAGTTGAGCTAAAGTTGAGTAGTTCTTAATCGATGCCTTTGACGTATGTCATTTATTTATATAAAATTAAATGTATTACATGCATCCTTTTGTCTATCTTTGTTCTTTTGTTTTAGTTCAATAACACGTGATAGTGGGAATTCAAACTTTCAAACTTTTTAGCATAATTTCATTTAGTTCAAAGTAGGTTTATTTTCTAATCTATTAAAAGACGCATCTATAAATGTAACTCGTAAACCTCTCCATTTTAGATCAGTTACATTGTTTTCTATAGCTATCATCAAGGTTTGCAAAGTTCTTGAGGTCCTCTTCTGCAAATTTATAAGGGGAAATGTCATCAAAACAATTACCAAAAATATAAGGGAAGATCATAAATAGTCAAATGGAAAGCACAAGATTTTGTAAAAGCATTTATATGCAATCGCAAACCAAATGAGAAATAATTAAAGAAGAAGAAAACTATGTATAAATATTTAAGTTACACACCTTATTGTATTTGATTTGCATTAGAATGTTCATATGACTTGGCATTTTTTAGTGCTCTCTTCAAAGCATCCGGCCCCAAATGCACTAGAATCTGATTGTAGCACATAGAAAACGAAGAAAAAGAAAATCTAAACTTCAGCACCAATAAGTTGATATAAGAAGATATAAGAAGGAGAACGAGAGCATAGCTCAACTGGTTAAGATTCGAATCCCGAGTTCGAATTGACGAACTCCAAAAAAAAACGATGTAGAATGGGACAATTTTTGAGAGTTCAAGGACTTATTAGCCATAAAATGCAGCTATCTTGAGAGCATGAACAACTTTGGTAATTATGAAAGGATGGAGGAATATAACCTCGTTTGCATCTTTAAACCGGTTGAAGTCATCTTTATACGGCCAATCTACCCGCCAGCATCTGGAACTCATATAATAAAACAAAGCCTTGTTATTTATTCTGTATGGAAAAAACAAGCATTCATGATAGAGTAGAAATTCTTGGTTTTAAGATAAACAGAAAGTTTGGAATTCGAGACCTGTGTTTTCCAAGGCGGCGTGCTAACTCCTCTGCCAAAGCTTGCCCTGGTTCATCACTATCAGTTGCCAAGATAATGTGGGAAACCTGGTAGTTCGTTTTCAAGTCAGCAAAACCAAGTCGTTGATTTAAGCATAGCTTTGTAGATAAGGTACCTGTTACTTTCTTTGAGATCGAAGGTTGTCTCACCCCATTTTTGTTGTACTATTAAAGAAAAACTTGTATATTTGTTTTTCTAATTCTAAACTCGCAAAATTTTGGCCAAATATCGAAAAACCAAAAACATGTTGGTGAAAATTATTTTGTTAGCCTGAAAACTCAACAAGGATTTGAAAAGTAAATATCAGAACGATGAAACTGTAACTAAACAAATTTATTTTTCTAAAACTGTAACATATTCAGACACAATGTCACTTACCTTATCTAAGTAGTCTTTACAGCTCCATAAATACTGATATGCCGTATCCTAACTTCATCCCACCAAAATATGCATAGTGAACAAGTTTAATTAAGATAAAGAACAGTTTTCAGATGTTAAACATTTGAGGACAATGAAACTTGATACTATCATAAAAGCTAAACTAAAAATCCCACGCTTCTCTTTGGTGTTCTCAATCTAGAATCTTTTCTAATTATCCATGATTGAACTGCCTGGGACTTCAAATTATGATACAGTTTTATTTAAGAGTGTTTTTTTTAACATAATCTTATTTATTTTCAATTTTACTTACCATTTCTTGAACATATTAAATAGAAGTATATTTGTCATTTTGATATGGTTGATGATGTAGCATCTAGAGTTTAGTTGGGAGGCTATCTAAAATCTCCATTAGTTTGTTTGACAGATTAGTTTATGAAAGAATTTGAAAGAATTTTAGCCATCAAACATTTCCTTTCAAGTTTAGCCAGAAACTTCTTGAACTTCTGCAATTTCATGACTCGAGTTGCACGTAAAGAACATCAAAGTAAGATTGATCATTCTATTTTGTGGAGTGTTCGACTCTTGGGCCGAGGAACTTGTTATTTATCTCGAGATCAGGTTTTATTTTAAGGCAATCCATGTCTAAACTAAACCTTAGGATTAAAATCGAATCGATTTGAGGGTTTTAATATTTGAAAATTTGGAGTTCACGTGTCAAAAGGGTTCCTAATTCCAATTCACTAGGGTTTCATATCAATTCCCCTAATGTTATAGTTGGGGACATTTTTGTAATTTACTAAACATTTTTTCGGGTTATATGTCAGTGTCTCATTGAAAAGAGGTGTAAAGCATTTTGGTAACTTTTCAACTTAAACCATAAACTTAAACCACATTTCAAATTCTTACAGAGGAGAAAATAGATAACTAGGAGCATACAGAAACAGTTAGGAACGATGTAAAAGCACACAAGATAGGCATTGAAGTATTTGTATGACATAGAACCTTTTCAATTGATGGTAGTACTGAATCGGTTGAAACTTTTCTTGGGGCACCGCCAGGAACACTAATACAATTGAGGAAGCCAGCTTCTTCTACTGAAAGTTTGTCCATTTCACCTTCAACCTTCGAGAATATATACATTATCTCTATGAAAGCTCGGTTTCTCATTAAAAAAAAATGTATACATTATCATCGAAAACAGATGGAAATATCAAACAAAATCTTAGAAGATAAGGTATTGTGAATTACAATGATCACTTCATCTGCATCATTAATGTCATCAATCCCATATAATAACTTTTCTGTACCCTTCTCCTGAAAATTGACACCAGGCGTACAGATTAAATTCTCTGTATAAAATATATGCTCTACGTATAAAGGTTTGGAAATGAAGCAGGAAAATTGCAACAGCTATGCATGGAAGAGACGCCCTTAAAAGTTAAAAATTACTTGCTAAAGAACAGAATGGAAGATGCCGAAACATTCTGACAACTTCTCAAATAAATTTGATTGAAGAGTGATTGGCCAAATACCTGCCAAAATCTCTTGTCCAATGTTCGATACTTGCAACCGAGGAGCTGTCCATTTTGTCTATAAGTAAATGCAATGACACCCTGAAATTGACCTTAAAACTTGTTATAAATTGAAGCTACAACGAAATGATGGAGAATAGTAATCAGTTAAACACTAAGGAATGCTTATTCTACAATGACGGACCTCATGACCTACAGGCTACAGATAACATATAGATTGAACATTGAAGAATATCAAGTGCATGCTAACAACTTAAAAATGTAATTTTCTTAACATTTCATTGGCACAAATTCCAGCCAGTATTTTATCAATAAGAAGATAAGTCAAAGAATTAAATTGAAGGCATACGAACAAAAACATTATTTCAAGTACCTGACGACCAGCTATTTGCATAACAAAATTCCTTTCTAGAGTTTCCTGGGGTATCATTCTCTTGCTAAAGTAAAAGATTAGCTGAAAAAGAAATATCAAAACACATAAAGCCAAAATTCAAAGTGAAACTAAACAGTTTACATTACGATATAAGTATGTCCTATTCATTGCAGGACTTCCCAGCTATCAAAATTAAGAGCTAACTCAGTTTCTTGTTTCCAATTGGAACCAATAACTTTTTGTTTCTGTCAAAAGATTGCATTAGTTTACTCATAGAACCAATACTTAGGGATTCATCTAAGTATGCCCTGTTCGTGGAAATGTAATGAAATTTGGAGTACCTCATCACCAAGAGGCTCCAAAACCAAACTCTCCTTTGCACTCCGTCCAACCAACTTTACAGTTCTGCCTAATCCATTAAATGCCAATCTTCCATCTGCAAATATCTAAACCAAAACAATCATTTGGCTGAGCAATTGCCATGTTTAGTTGCTAGATAAGAGATTGAAGAGAATACAAGTACACATTATTATAACATTACCCGGCCTGCCCAACCACACTCAGACAGGTAACACCTCCACATTGCAAAATCTCTACGTTCCCAGTAAGGAAATGTAATTTAAGACCAAATTACACGCTATTAATCTTCATAAAATTAAGAATGAAAAAAAAAAAAAACAGTAACCAGTATGCTAATAGTACTTACCCTGTTGGAACCACATGAAGAGATAAGCTCCTCTCAGTTAATGGCCCACCCTTGCACTGTTAAACCACAAAAATCAATACACAAACTGATACCCATTCTTTAAAAAATAGAGCCAATCAGAAAGATAAACAACAGAAGAAACTGATAATGTTATGCAAATGGGGTTGTATTCAACCTTAGGGCAAAACAAGCAATAGTATTTTCCGGGCGTACAATTCTCGTCACAGGCGATTCCGATGAGATCCATCTTCTCCATTAGAACCTTCACTTTAGGATCATTCATCCGAAACATCAACAACCCAAAATCCGAAACGAAATCAAAGGGGTTTCTGAGCAAGCTTAGAGAAAACGAGTACCTGGTGGTGGCGATGGCGGCGGCGGAGCATGAGAAGCGGCGGAAGACGGTCTGGTGGAGCAGAATCGAAGGAACGGGGGGGAGGAGAAGGAGAAAGGGTTGAGCGGGTGAAAAAGAGGGGCAGGGCGATGATTGAAGGCGGCGTTTATTGGCATTTGATTGATTCCACGCTGAATCCTGATTTGGAGAAAAAATGGAACAATGGGGAGTTGTAATGGAGAGCAGGGTAGAAGAGAAGCGGGCCTTATCATCTTCTTCTTCGATTTTCTTCTGTTTATCGGAAGGAAGTTATTACAGTTGGAGAACCATGGCGGTAGAAAATGAAAAACACAATAATAATAACTTAAAAAAAAAACGTTAAATGCTGTTTTGGTTATTGTAATTTCTGCTTTAATTCTCATTTTGATTATTGTACATTTAACTTTTTTTAATTTTAGTTTTTATATTCTCAAAATTGTTGTTCTATCATTTTAGTTTTTATATTCTTAAAATTATTGTTCTATTAATTTTATCTCATATATTTCGATTTTATAGGATCCATTTGAATATTTAATTAATTTTAAAAGATAGCAAAATTATAGTACTATCCTATCCTTTGATAAAAAAAAATCAAACCGTTGGCGCTCATTTTAATTTTTATATTCATCCTTGATTTTATCTCATATGTTTCGATCATAATTTTAATACATGTTATTCACTTATTTTATTGAAATGTAGTCACAAAGTTTTCAATGGTTTATAAATTTATCTTCACAATTTTAAATCAAATTGATCGAAATGCAGTCATAAACTTATATTAAAAATTTTCAATTGTTTATAAAAGTTGTGTTAAAAATTTAAAATCAAATGGATAATTTTTAAGTTGAGAGACCAAATGAGACATTTCTAAGTAAAATAACAAAATTAATATTTTATACGAGGTCTTATTCTAAACAAATCTTACTAATAACTCTAAAATTTGTATGCTTCAACGAAAATAATAATCTCTAATGTCAATATCTAAAAAAAACAAACTATTATAAATGTCAAATAGTTTAATTGATTCAAATTCTTATTCTTACATGGTAGCACTAAAAAACTTGATTCGTTAAAATATCTTAAAATTTGAGGTTTTAAATCTCACTATCATATAATAAATTTCAATATTACTTTCACTTGTTATACTTGGAAAAAAAATATAATATTAAAAATTTTAAAAACATGGTCCGGATACTGAATTAAACTCTAAAACAATGAAAATGTACTAAAAAAAAACAATGAAAATAGAAATGATACTTTAATTTAATATTTGTTTCCAAATACGATATTATATTTGATAATCAAAACCCAATTGTAAAAATAAAAAAACACTCAACTTTTGCTGCAATATACATATTGAGTTAAAACCCATCGTTCTTGGAGAAACATTCAATGGCGGGAAGAATCATAATCAGAACTCCGGCATTTCTCCGGCTGAAATCAACCTCCAATCGGAACCCTAGTTTCGCTTTTCAGGCAATTTACCGTATTTCAATTAATTCAGTTTCCACCATCTCCAATCATCCCAAAATTTCCTCCCTTACGCAGAACTCGAAGCAAGCGTCACTCGCTAATCTTCTCCACAAGTCTGGATTCACATCATCCCAAATGCAAAAATTTCTTTCGAAGAATCATCTTTTCTTCATGAACTCCAATTTGCAGGACATTGAAAGTCCTGCAGCTGTTATATTATCATTTGGATTTCTCTCGGAGGATCTTGTTTCCATGGCGATTGACTGTCCCGCGATACTTGACTTGGAATTTCTGAAGAAATGGGAGGTAAGTTTGTCCCAAATTCGATTGCACAGTGTTTCAGCGTCGATAACTCGGAGCATGCTAGTATTATTCAGACGATTCAGTATAGACCCGAGTATTTTTCATACAACTGTAAATTTCTTGAAACGTGTGGGGATTAGTGACGCTACCGTAACTAGGGTTTTAGAGGATTGCCCTAAAACTGTGTTGTCGAACGAGGAAGAAATCTCACGAACGATTGAATACCTGATGGGAATTGGAATCCAAAGGGATGAAATTGATTGGATCATTCGTTCGCTTCCTAGAGTTCTAGGATTTAGAGTTGATGGCAGATTGAAGAGTTTGGTTTCTGAGTTCGGGGAGTTGGGGTTTGACCAGAACGTGATTGCAAGTGAAATTGTTAGGGAACCGAGAATTTTAGGCACAGAATTAGGGAACTTTCGTGATGCCTAGAGTTGCTTAGAAATCTAAAATGCAGAAACTCGATTAAGGAGGAAATCTTCAAAGATGGTGCTTTCAGAGCTGCATTTGAAGTGAAACAGCAAATCGACTGTTTATGTAAAAAAAGGTTGATTCGTACAGAGGCATTTAAAATGCCATGGAAAGAGCCGAGGTTGGTCACTTATGAAACAGAGAACATTGAGAAGAAGATTGACTTCTTGATCCACCATAAGATGAAATTTGGTGTTGAATGTTTGATTGATGTTCCAGAATATTTGGGCATCAATTTCGAAAAGCAGATTGTTCCTCGTTACAATGTGATTGAATATTTGGGATCAAAAGGCTGGCTTGGTTCTCAGGTTGGTTTGAGAGAAATTATCAAGCCTAGCAGGCTCAAGTTCTACAATCTGTTTGTAAAGCCTTATCCAGAGTGTGGGAAGATGTTCTGGAAATTCGTGGGAGATAATGAAACGAAGAGCTCGAGTAGGCATCTTATTGGATTATGGAAGGTTTTCAAACCACAAAGACATCCAGAATTAAGAGAAGATACTGAGAACATGAAGTCATTCATGAATTCTCTTGTTAAGTGGAAGCTTGGTAAGATGGAGAAGGGGTCCTCTGGTTATGGGAAGGCAGTGAGGTAAACAGGTATGCCATATTTGAATGACGGGCCCTACAGCGAATGAGTAGGTTCTTGTTGAAAATTCGCACGATATAAACTCAGTAATACCGTGCAAACTAACCTAATAATCCAGGGTGGAAGGAGCAGCAGAAGAACCTACTGGACACAACTGACTGGTGACTGTAATTGCCGGAGGCCTCTTGTTCTGAAGAAAATGATGGACTCATAAACTTTGGTTTTGTTAAGCTATCCATTAATGGATGAAAACTCAGTCGAATTTTCTCAAACCGATGGCTCCGTCACAATTTAGTTCTTGTTGGATTTGAAAGAATGTGGCTGGAATGGATGTTCTCAAACCTGGTTAGTGAAACTGGCTCCTAGAATGCTTATTGTTGTCTTATAAGCTGTTTGAATTGCATGCTGTGAATCCAATTGTTGAAACATGGTATATAAAAGTATCCATTTTCGTTGAAGATCCATTATTTTGATAAAAGTTAGAAAAACTTTTGATTATTGACATTATGAGTTCATGCCTTTGCTACCAACCATAATGTTCTTTTGTTTCTGTTTGTGAAAGCCTTACTTTTATTTATATATATATATGTTCAATCAAACTCTGGTGTTGTTGGGAATGTCAAACTGTAAAGACTTGTTTATTTCAACATGAACAAATTATAAACTAATACCATGATTTTATTGCAGATGTGTCTCAGTTCCCTCTCCTTACTTAGTCTTGGCGGGGTGTAAGAAGGTCGATTTGACTCGTTTCTTAAAGCCAAAAATGATACTGAATCGACATAATCTTCGCAAAATGCAAGAAAAGCGCCCAGCAAATTGTGATTGCCTGACCATGCCAGGTCCAATGAGCTAGAATTGAAATCGAACGGACAAAATATATTCGAATCAAACTAACCAACAAGTATCCTTCAAATAAACTAAATAAGGTTATTCCTGGATTTTTAAAAATTTATTTCTTCTTCTTCAGTTTTGACCTTGAGCCATTATTTCTTAACGAACCTATTAGATAGGGTCCGGTTATTTCTTCCGACAGCGGGCGGCGAGAGAGGGTGAAGAATGACTTCTTGCTTCTCAGTTACGAAGAAACGAGTAACAGAAAATCCAAGAAGACGAAGAACAGAGAAAACTCGCAAAAAGTCATCAGGTCTAACAACAAAAGTTTAATCCACGTTAGCTTCTATAAAATGACACGTCCGCTTTTATCTTTTAAACAGGTTTAAACTATTTCATTTATTTCGAAGTTAGTCTATGTTACTCTATATGTTCAACTTCTTTTCCTTTTTTTTTTTAATTTTATTTTAATTATTGTATTTTCAAAACACCGGAGTTTATCTCTACCTAATTAATCACAATTTGTAAAATTTTAAAACATTTATACATAGTGAAAAACAAATTTTAATAAATAAAATATCATGTTAAAATAGTAGTCGAGAAAAATGAAATAAAAATAAAAATGAAAGGATTATAATAGATGTATAAAGATTAAAATGAATGAAAATTTTAAGTACAATAATTAAAAATAGACATTTTAAAAATAAAATGATCAAAATAAACAAAAATTGAAAGTAGAATAATTAAAATAGTATTTAAACCTTACGATATTATATATATATATATATATATTTTTCAATTATGCTGACTATCCATCAAAGTACTAAAATAAAGCGTTTTTCAAACCTTAAACCTATAAAAGTAATTCAGCTTAAATTTAATATTCCAAAATTCCAATTTATTTAATAATAAACCTATCGTAATGAAAGTTCTACTTTTTATTATCTAAATAAAGCGCCTCCCCGCCAGCCGCCGGTATTTTTTTGTGGGGTTCATTTGTTTTCGGAAGCAAGCCGCAATTTCTACTCGCGATTTTACAGCGCGCGAAACTCAGAGCAACTTCGCTCACATTCACAAACTCCTCCTTCAGCAGAATACGCTTCAATTTCCTGCGAATTTCTTTACTCTCCAGTTGAAATGGAAGCCATAGCCAACCAATTACCCTAAACCCACCAAGCAAAACATGCGTTTTCTTCACCACAATCAGTGTTTCCATAGCCCCTTCACCAAGCTCTCTTCCCTTTCGTCCTCATTCAATCTTATGGGTTCCATTCCCTTGTGCAAGTCCACTTCTCTGGTATTCCTGTCTCACATTTCTTCTTCTTCTTATTGTTCTTCGCAGAGGAATTTCCTGTACAGAACCAATCTTCTCCTCCATGGTTCATTTCCTGTGCAATCCATGTCCCCTCGTAAATCCTTTTCCATGAAAACAAATGGGGTCTCTCCTTTTACTTCTCATGCCAATGTTCCCGGGCCCCCAGGTACTAAATTTTGAAGATGTTTATGGGGTTTGAAGTGTAGTTAGGTTTATGATGGTTTCTGATTGATCCCCATGTAGTGGAGCAAAACTGATGTTTCACTTCTTTTGTGTATTTTGCTGATGATGTATTCAGAAATTGGGGGAGGACTTTATGTTTGTCTATCTTTAATGTTATTTGCATCTGTTTTTCATGAATTGCTGCCTTTTTGGAGAATCCACTAGACGAGGGTTTAAGCTCGACTCAATTGAATGTTTTGAGGAAAAAATTGGAGGAACTTAACGTCAACACCGAATCTTGTGTTCCAGGGCAGACGAACCACCTGCTTTGCCCCATGGTATTGGGTTTCAAATATCTGTTTCTTTATTCGTACTGTTGCTATATTTTGGGATATTTATCCAATTTGTAAAAGTGAAAACAACTGCAAGCTTCTATGTCATTCTATCAAACAAAGAATGAAGAACTTATTGCTCAAACTGGCTTTACATGTTATTTTTTATTTTTTGCTCCAATAAATTGGTTTCACTTGTTGCCTTCATCTGCTGGTTATATCTTTTGACTGAGAAAAGATAGGTTTTTCAATGACATGCTGTGATTTATTTCGTGTCAAATTGGTGCCAGTGCAAAGGTGGTGATTCAGGGGAAAGGTCCTTATCCCTATATATCTCAGAAGATGGGTATGATTTTATGGCTTCTCTCTCGTTGAGTTTTTCTCATAATCTTTGTATTTTTTATACTGGTGGTTTTTCCTTCAAAAAAAAAAAAAGAAGTTTTTGTGGAAGTTATTCAGTGCGTGGGTGACATTTAATTGTTCACATTCTGAATTTATAATCAGACTCTCTAACATTTAGATGACACGTGGTTGTTACTCGTCGGGCTGATCTTTTAGGATTGTATCTTTCTTCCACTAACACTTGCCAATTTCTAAAAATTTATATTAAATTAATAATTGAATTAATTTTCTAAAATTATCCGAAAACACTTGATAGATCCCTGGACTTGTAGTCTACCACTAACATTTTCTCCAGTCCTTTCCTTTTACCTTCATGTTCACTGAAATTGATATCTTCCTTATGTAGAAAAAGTAGCTGTAATTCTTGTCCATCACTTGGACTCTTCAGTTCTTCAAGTGCAATTGCAAGCATATTTAGATTAGATTTACTGCAATTTTATCTCTCATCCATCCTTCACTGTATCTTATTCTTCATCGTTAGAACTATTTTTTTGTTAGATTTTTTATAAAAATAAAATAAACTATATTAAAATATTATAATTCTAAATTTTTATCTTTCTGTTTTTCTTTAAATACATGTAGCAGACAGGTTTATAGGACCTAAACTGATAGTCCGTCCACCACTAACATTAGTCTGATTTATTTCCTTTATTATTGTGTTCAATGAAATTGCTATCTTTCTTATGTACAATAAGTGACTGGATTTCTTGTGCATCCCAGACTTTTTAATCCTTCAATTGCATTGACATGCATATACTCTGCGACTTCTATCTTTTTTGAGTATCGTAGGTTTTTAATTTTTGTTCCCAAATGACCAGGGGGGCTGCTGTTTGGATCTGCTTTCGTGCAAAATGTGGTTGGAAAGGCCGCACTCTGGTATCATTCATTATTCAATTTACGTTATTCCTGTTTTAGGTTCATTTTGAACCTTTAACAGATGCCCTTTCACTTAGGATTGATTTTGAGAAGTTGTTCAATTATTGTTTAGCTTCATTTTTTGATAGGATAGTTTTGTTTTTGTTTTAAACATTTGTATTTTGCCATTCAAATATTTCAGAATCTTTCATAAGTTGTCCTTTTAGCATGAAGATTTAGGTCTCTCTTCTACAGATTTTCAGACTGTCTTGGGACTTTTACATTTATTTGGATGGAAATGTTGTTCAAATGCTCTATGGCGTCTTTGTTCACTGCCGAAACTTTTCAAATATCTACTGAGATTCATTTCTTTTTGAGCTGTCTTTGTTCTCTTCGTTATTGAAGGTTAGGTCCAGGATTTTTTTTATCTTGTAGGTCTTACAGGGAAGGCTTAACACCATTGATTCTATTCAATAGACTTTTCATGTTGTTGGCTGGTGTGTTTTATGTAAACCTCTTTTGAGAATTTGGGCCATGTGTTCTAGAGTTGTAAATTTGCAACTTTGATTTGGCAAACTTTTATTAGACCTTCTGTGTGCTTTTGGCTCGCAAAATATCATGCCACTCAATGTTGGAGGAGGTGTTGTTCCATCGTTGGATGAGAGAGGAGTCATGCGAAGGACAACCATTTTTACTATTTTGTGAAATATCTTATTTGAGACTTGAGAGAAATAAGAGAATTTTTTAAGGGGCGGGGATTCCTGGGAGTGTGGTATACTATTAGCCACTAGGTTCAATACTCCTCTTGGGGTGTAGGTATAAAAAAAAAAAGAACCTGTGTGATTGTGTGAAAGCTTTGGTTTCCTTTAATGCTCTCATAGTAACCTTTTTCTAGTTACCTTCTTTTATATTTTTTTATTATTTATGCTAATTGGAAAGTTTTTTTTTTTTTTTTTGGTAAACCTATTGGCTTTTCTCAAGGATGCCTTATTCTCCCTCTTTTTTTCTTTCTTCGGTGGTGAAAGAACGTTTGTTATAAATAATGGAAAAATATTCTATTAAAATGCCAATAGGTCCTTATAATTAAAATTTGCTACTATTTTTGTAATGCTTGATTGAGTTGTTTGGCTTAGCATAGCTTTTGTGGCAGGCCTTTGCTGATGGTCGGTCATCATATGGAAGTTTGGGACAAGTTGCACTTAACAAGAAAAAACGGAAAATTACAGTGGAGAGTCTACAACTTGAACCACTGTGTGACGAGGTGGTTGAGATTTTCATTTTTCTTCATTTTGATGAGAATAATAGAAATCTGTTATTTGGTACAGCATGTATGTTTGTTATTTTATGGTGTTGTAAATATATAATTTATAGGTGCCCGTCGATTATTTATCCCTTATTGCAATCCTATATTTTGTTAAATTAAGAACACTTATTTTTCTTAAACTCAAGAAGTTCAAAATAGTAGAAATCGGCCCAATAGTTCTTTGAACTTTTTACAATAAATTAAAACTGGAAACAATACTGTCATCCTTAGTTTCAGAGATCTTTTCAATAAGAATTTTAGAAATTTTTTTTGGGTAAGTTTGGAACAAAAAGTTATTTAACTTGAAATGAAAATATTCAAACTTTTTAAAAATATTTTCTTTAAACAAATGAAATTTGTTCTAAGGATTTAAAATAATTTTGTAAAGTAGTCATTAGTATAAAAATTGCCTTTGGTTTATATTTATCAATTACACTTGCAATTGTTGGTATGTTTTGTATATCAAACATAGAGAAAATAATAATGTTTCTTGTTTCAGCTGGTTGCTTACTTTGCTGAGAGATTGATTTCCAAGAACACGTTGTTAAGAAATTCTGTTATGCAGAAAAGATCCGATAATCAGGTAAAGTGAGTTGTTATTGACTCGTACTTTTGATGGAGCGTTGGTCTTAGGATAGTATACGCCTAATGGCATCTAAAGTATGCTAAAATTGCATTTTAAATCTGTATTGATAAAGTTTGCTTCTTTATATTGTGCAAGAACATATCAATTGCATAAATTATAATATGATATTTTGTAACCTTTATAGCTGCCTTTAATTCTTGTTAATATTTTTCTTTTGAATTAGAAATACATGGCATTTTGGCTTCAAGTTTTTTTTTTCTTTTTTTTTTTGGATAAGAGACAGAAACTTTCATTGATACGGAACAAAGGCAAAAAAACAGCCTAAGCACAAGGGACATTAGCATACGGATTCAAGTTTTGAATATTTGAAATATTTTGGGAAAACCAAGAAACAAGGTTACATTTGACTTTTATTTGTACATGCATGAAGGTGGAGAGAGTAAGCCTTCAAATTTTCAAAGGTTTGACTTATTAAAATGATTCTTTGTGATGGAGGGTTACAACTTCATCATTTTCTCCTTTTGTTTCTGTGTTTGTGGCTTAAATTTGGAAACAGACATTAGAAAGGAAAATAAAGTAATTTTACTTTTTAATGAGAATTTTCTTCCCAGACATTAGAACTGTCAGGTTATGACAACAAAAATGTTGAAAATTCCGACTATTTTGGTGACATTGAAGACGTGGCTCTTCTTTGGTTTAAATTTTAGTTTGGTTACTGGAGTGAAAATTTGACCATAGTTTTCCTCACTAACTGCTTTAACATTTGTTTTGACAGATTGCTATTGCATTTACATATCATCGATGTGGAGAATTGGTTAGTTGCAAGTATCGTGATGTCAACAAAAAGTTCTGGCAGGTTCTTTTTTTAACTTATAAACAACACCCTAAAATATTGGCCAACTGTAAATTTAACCATTTAATTCACCTTAACACTCTCCGTGTGAGTTCGGATGTTAGTTCTTATTTATTTGATGCTCAATTTGTGTGTTCTTTGTAAAAATTCTGGAGAAATGCAAGTCAGACTTTTTCTCCATTGCCCTTTTGATCTATATCTTGGTAACCTCATAGGGTTGTCGATGGCCTGCAAGCTGTCAGGGAAAGCTAATTTGTGATGGACTGTTGCTGTTAGAGCAATTACTTGGAAGATCGACTTGAGAGGAATAGGCAAATATTGAAGGAAAAAACCTGAGTTGAGATTAAATTTTTGACCTGGCTAAATACAACTCTTCTAAATGGTGTATTCTTGTGGGTGTAATTATTGATTTTTTTTTTCAATAAGAAACCAGGCTTTCATTTATAGGAGTGAAAGAAAGATTACTTTCCATTTATAATTAACTTGGACTGTATTGCTTTTTTGGGAACACCTGATGGAGGATATTTGTACATAAACCTTACTTTTCATCTCACATTGAAAAGTACTCATTTTCAAAAAAATATTATATGTGGACTATTAATATTGAGACGAGGGAAGAAATATCATCTTAAGATTATGAACCTTGGATTTTTTGCTAACTACCAAGTAAATTTTCATTTAATTCATTTTTAACCCTTGATATCTTAATTAGACTTCTCTTGATGCATTTTGATTTTTCCTTCTTCCCAAAAGAAAAAGTAGACAAAAAGGAAACATGTACTGTCTGGTTTACTTATGGATCTTCTGGAGTTTAATGTTGTTATAAAAAATAAGATTTGTTTCATCATCATCTGATTGTCTACCATTACTTTGTTTCAGGAGGCGAATACTGAGAAAATATTTTATGGATTGGATGGCATAGATGGTGCAAGTGATATCATCATAGTATGATTTATTTAGCATGGAAAATTACTCAACTTAACAGTTAAATCTATTATTCAACACTTTTCTTCATAATATAGGTTGAAGGAGAGATGGACAAGCTTTCAATGGAAGAAGCTGGTTTCCATAATTGTGTGAGTGTTCCAGATGGTGCGCCACCATCAGTTTCCCAAAAGGACGTACCTCCTACAGATAAGGTTACATTTCGAGGGGTTTTCCATCCCTGATTGATGAATCTTAAAACTTTTTTTATAGCTCAACTTTGGTTGTTAGATATATATACTTTTTAATTAAGACTTGGTAGTCTTTAACTCTGCAGACTACATGTTCTTTTCCTTATTTATTTCCGAACTTTATTTCATGCTCCTCTTTCTCTCTAGGTGGAGGTTTTACAAAATTAGTGCATATAGCTAGCAGATCTGCCTCAATGAAGTTAGTCAACTAGCCTTAGTAAAGGATTTTAATTTTTAATTTTTAATCTTTAAGTTTGATTAGCAAATCACTTTTATCTGGAGAAATGGTAGTACAAAAGAAGACAGGCTGTATAAACATACATGCTGAAACCAAACAAAGGAGCCAAAAAAGAATAAAATTACTTGGGGCTTCACGAGAGGATATCCTGTTTTCAGTTTTCTTAAAGACCTCATATTTGTTCAGATTTTCACAATCTGTTGGTTTCTTGTCAGCGATGGTTGGGGTTTGAGTTTGTATGTTCTTGTTCCAATTTGGGTTTTTAGGATTTGTGCTGTACTTTTCTAGTTTTCTTTGGGGAGGTGTTTGTTTTTTAGCTGGTAATTTGTTTATCATCTTGCATTCTCCTAATAGGACTACTGTACTTTGTAACGGTACAGGTTTTCTGAGGAAGCCACCATCACTTGATTAGGATAGCGATACTTTTTTAAAAGTGAGGTTCCTAATGCCCAAGCTGCCCTCCTCTCATGATTTAGAGATGGACTCCCACTTAACCCAATAAGAACCACTAGTGAGTCCATCCTTCTCACACAAAGTCCGTAATTTTCTCCAACTTGGTTCTAATAGAAGAAAGGCATATGAAAAGGGAAAGGAAAGGGAGGGGGATCCCTCTCAAAACTGATTAAACTGTAGTAGTCTGCCTCTGTCAGAAAGCAACTCTTCTTTCAAGAAAAGAGATTTTTTTGAACCTTTTTCCACTAGGGTTCCCAAAACGAGAGAACTTTGGGTTATGCCAAAATAGAGACCCAGTAGAAGGAAACAGAGACCTCACACCGCACTGACTATGCCTACCTACCTCATTTTTTTTCCCAACTTTTTCTCCTCTTTTTTCTCTTGGGTAGGCAAGAACGATAATCCTATTTCGCATTTTATGTGTTCTTTTTGAAGGTTTTCTGTTTATCTTACTCAAGGTATCTCTGAATAATTGGCATTATTGATTTCTTCAAAGATGGTTTACCGCCCAGTCTAGCTCTCTTTCCCATTTTACAGCTGTTATTCTTCATACCATTCTGTTAAATGGCCTTACATCATCCTTTCTAAAATAGTGTGTAGAAGGTTTATCTTTGTATTTTTAATGCCAAAAATTGAGAAATTATTGTGGGCGGATATGCTTAAAAGAAATCCCTGCTGTTCTTCTCTTTGGTCAATCACTCTGGTTCCAGTGCCTTCGTAATATTTCATCGTTTTCACTATTATTCATATGAAAATATTCATCCTGTGCACAAAGCTAACATTGACATAACATTATAAAAAATTGAATTATTTTTGCTTATTGTTTGATTGTTGGTAATTATTTTAGTCTGATTGAAATGCATCTTTCATGTTTCATGTAAAGCTAGGATACAAAGTATCAATATCTATGGAACTGCAAAGAATACTTGAGTAAGGTTGGTGAATATGGACCCACTCTTTTTAGCTTAAACACATTGTAGGCCAGTGAAAACGGTCCAATGTTAATGATATTGAAATTGATAGGCATCACGCATTATACTTGCCACTGATGGGGATCCTCCTGGTCAAGCTTTAGCAGAGGAGATTGCACGTCGTGTTGGAAGGGAAAGGTTTGTTGTCTTTTTTCTCACTAACCATTATTTTATTGGAACAGATGTGGAGTAGTCTGGCTAGTAACATGCATTTTTATTTTTTATTGTTAGATGTTGGAGGGTCAAATGGCCAAAAAAAAATGAGGTTGATCATTTCAAAGATGCGAATGAGGTTGGAACTATAGATCTATTATAATTGCGGCAGTACATTTTTTTTTAAATTTATAATTTTAACCTTTTCTAGTTGTCTATGTTTCCTATTTTATACGTGAGGATGGAATTCATGTTTATTAGATGTAAAGCTTTGATGGGAAATAGTGTAGATATTTCTGCTATATTTCTTTATTGTTTATCGTTAGTTGTTATTTGCAGTTAAATGTGAAATTCAACCATTTAGTTGCGAAACGCTGAAACTGATAGTTTTACATTGAATGGTTGCTGATCTAAACCATTTTTTTCTGTTTCTTAACCATTTATTTCTCATGGCATTTTTTTTCCCCTTGAATGGATAAAACTTGCTTTTGTCAATGAGCCTTATAGATAAGATTTGGAGGGGAAAGTCATCTTTCTTGTACTTGCAGTGCCTTATAAAGAACTTTACAAATAAGATCTGAGGACAAGTCTTGTTGAGGTCTATCTTGTAGGTACTCAAATTGAATTAGAGATCAATTTATAGGTTTGTCGTAAACCTAATTGGTTACTTTCAATTACGTGAATCAAGAGTGGGGCATTTCCCTCGTATATAGGTGCAGCGTAAAAAAGTTATATCTCCTTTGGGAATGTTTTCGGCTTCGTACTTGTTTGTGCAAGGTCACTCACCCTTTATACTAGCACTAATGTGATAGGAATGTTAAACCCTTGATTACATTCACCTACCCTAGGAGGAAATCATGTCCTAAATGAATAGGAATTATTACTGGGGGAAAAGTGAGAGCTAGTGACGTTTGCTTATTTTGTTATCGTGCGGCCCATATAATTATTATTTCTGATTGGAGGACATTCTCTTGTTGCTCTTTTGCGTGCAGGATTCCTGTACGGAGCCCATAGGTTGCATTACTTTTATTATTATTATTTTTGTATATCTGTTCGTATTTTAAAAAGCCGGAGTAGGGAGGGAAAATGAGACTCATGAAAGCAAAGTGTATTCATGCATGTTTTTGCCATTAGAAGCTAGGAAAGCTCAACTTTGCTAATTTAAGTGATTGATGATTGACATTGTTTGCATATGGGATCACTAAAAAGATCCTGATCTTTCTATTCTAAATTGTGTTTAGGTTCTGATGTACTTGGGCCCCGAGGCACTGAAGGAAGTTGTTGATAATGCAGAGTTGTTTCCTATACGTGGATTATTCAGCTTCAAAGACTACTTTGATGAGATTGATGCATATTATGACAAGAAATTTGGAAATGAGTTTGGTGCATCGACGGGGTGGAAGGGTCTCAACCATTTGTATAACGTGAGTTCAAACTGGAAAATCTTTCAAAATTTTGATTCTTATTTGAGCAAATGAGAGCGTTGTTATCTGGTAATGATAAAATGTTGTATTTAACAAAGAAACAAAAATACGTAAAAGTTTGGTAGATAAGATCTATCATAACGACAAAATAACTGATGAACGAGCACCCTAGTAAACCTCGAAGTTGTTATGTAATTATCAGCTAGGCCTTATTCTTTTGGATTGGAGACCCTTTCTTTAGTGGGGTTCTCCTTGTGGGCTGTTTTTTTGCATGCCCCTATTCATATGTTTTTGTTTTCATTTGTTTTAACGAAAAGTTTGGCTTCCCATAAAAAAATAACTGATGAACGAGCACCCCAGTTAGTATTTATAAATGAAGGAGAGTACTATCAATATAGAAAAGATATTGATTTTCTCATTTGCTCGTTACTTTAATCAAGGAAAGCAACCTTCCTTCCAAATCCGCTGAAAGCAGTGCACAAATTTCTAATGACACGTTACAAAAATCTGTATATTTCCATCTATGCAATAGAATTGCAGTTTCTATAAGCCTGCAAAATAATTTTATTCTTATAAAAATAATATTGCTGCTAATAATTCTACTATTTCTAGTTCTTGACTTTTTCATAGATGTTATTTATTTCTATGGTTAGGAATGATTTTGAGCCATCTGGCTGGAATGAGCTTATTGCAGAATGTTTCTGCTTTGAAATGTGAATGCAAGATTATTCCAGTGGCACTTAGGCACCTGGTAGTCAATTGAGCTGCAATTATTTACTTTGATGATTTAATAATGTTAATTACTGGCATTGTTTTTTAATCTGCTTATTGAATGAAGGTAATTAGATTTTTCTTTGTGTATCGTTTCCTATTATAAGGTGATCTTTTTTTTTTTCTTTTCTGTTTGAAATTTGGAATAAGGAAATTTGCAAGCAATTTTTTTCTCTCTCTAGATTTGTTATAGCTAAAGCCTTTGTTTTAAACAGGTTGTCCCGGGGGAGCTTACTATTGTTACTGGTATTCCTAATTCAGGCAAGAGCGAATGGATTGATGCTCTCCTATGCAATCTTAATGCAAGTGTTGGTTGGAAATTTGTCCTCTGCTCCATGGAAAATAAGGTGAGCTGTTCAGACTCTAGAGTTGTGCCCATGATTGGCATTTTTCTGTATGGTCCTTTTTAACAAAAAAAAAAAAAAAAAAAAAAAATCTCAGTGATGGATGATAATATAACTATTGTCACAAATATGGAAAACTAATATTTACAACTCTTATAAAGGGAAATCCAACAGATACTATTTCTGCCTGCTCCCCCTTTCACCATGTTTCAATTTAAATTGCTTTGACGAACTATTAATAGGTTCGGGAGCATGCAAGAAAACTATTGGAGAAACGAATCAAGAAGCCTTTCTTTAATGCACGGTAAGCTTTTCATTTGTGTTCTTTCCCTATTTTTTTTTTCAAATCTGTGAGTACCCAGGTCAACTTTCGCATCCCTCACCTAGTCTCACAAGACAACAGTCTAATCTCTCTTTTGGGTTCTTTCTTTACTTTTGTTTTCTATGATCAAGAATACTGTGAGTACTGAGTTGATTTAATTGCTCTTATAAGTTAAAGTGGAGAGCCTCAGCTTTTTCTTGTGGTATAAGCGTTTGATCTATAGAGTACTTGGTTCTTCTGCTTGTTGGCAAATGTAATATAACTTGGAATTCTGGAATCTGGTAGCAGAGAAGGTGGCTGGTAAGCTGACAGATGTAAAAGAGCCAAGCTTGCTAGTTCCAGAAAGGAAATTTTACCTGTTTCCTTGATAACATTGAGGGTAGACTTTCTCTAGGACAAAAATAGGCCCTAAATAGATTCTGCTTCTTTAATACATCTAGAAAACACTGTAGCTTCCCTAGGTCTATGGTTTCAAATCCACTAACAAATAAAATAGTTGTCTTTAAACCATTAGGTCTGTTTGGAAGTTGAGTTTAAAATTTATAATTATTTTGTTAGATTTAATACCTCTTTGTGGGTGCCGGTTTCCAAGGCTTTTTGTAATTACCAGCGTATCATCCTTTTGGATTGGGGTCCCTTCTTGTTGGACTTGTTTTTTTTACGTCCCTGGTATATTCTTTCATTTTTTCTCAATGAAAACTTGGTTTCTCATAAAAAAATTAAAACTATTATTTTAAAATAAAAGGTTAGTTTGTTTAGTTTGTTTAAAATAAAAGGTTAGTTTGTGGAAGTTTTCTTTAGTTTGTTTCAAGGATGGTCTATTTTGAGAACAACTGAAGTTCTTAGAAACTTATAGGTTTTTGGATGCGATGATATCATCTGCATGGAAATTCAAACCTTTACAAGTCCCCTAATCATAAATCTATAAGTAGTTTTTCAAATGAACGGCCAAACATCCATATTATCCGTCACTTATGACCACTACATCCTTATGTTATCTATGTAAAATTAATGCTCGCCACACTTTTAGAATTAAATGTGCCAACCTTGGCTGAGACTGCAAAGCTTTCATAGTATAAGGGGCCAATTTCTCACTGCTCTTTTTAGCAACCAAAATCTATCTATATGGCCAAAGTTTTAAATAAACCACGTCCTCAACCTCAAAGTGCACATCACACCGTTTCTTTCATCTAATGACTATAATCAGCACCTTAGGTCTTGTAACATAGCATCTCGATGAATTGGTTGCTGAATTGAAGCTATTGTAGTGCGCGGTTCATGGTTTAAACAAGTACTGCTGTTGTACCCTGCATGTCTGTGTGACCACGTCTTAAATACCGACAAAAAGTTATCTGGTATCTATGTTTAGTACCCAACAGCAAGTTTTTGTTTGATCACTGTACAGTGTTTTTACAATTCAAAGCTTCCCTGTAGTGCTCCCTTTCTAATTTGTGAGCAATATTTATATGAATTGGGACACTTTTATTTTTCCTTGTTAGAGCTTTGCTTTTTTCTTTACTTTTTTCACTCCTTTTTAGAGTTTTTTTTTTCAAACATATTTTGTACTCTTCAGGAGTTCATATCTGGTTAAAAAAATTTATAATCTAATTGACCTTTGTGGATTACTCAATGGCATGTAAGGGCAATATGCAGACTTGTCATTGTTACCGAATCATTATTTGCAGAAATTACTTGCCATATAAATGAGAAGGGCGTGTTGGGGAGACTGTTTTCAAATCAATTTTTTGACTTTTGGATTAAAAATTATGTGAAACATTCTCCTGTTTTGTTTTAGTTTGTTTTTGGAGTTTTTATCCCTTGAACATTTTTTTTTTCCATTTATCAATGAAAAGTTCGTATCTTGTTCAAAAAAAAAAAAAGGTGAAGACTCGAGCTTTGTTTTCAATGATTTGAATTGAACAATAATCTTGACCTTTACAAGATACCTAATGATAATTTATAAAAACAATTTGGAAAAAAAAACTATTTTGAAAATGACCTCCAAATTAACGCGGGCTTTTTTCTCCCCTTCCATATATCTGCAATAATGTTGACTAACTTTGTATTTCGTCTTTTATGGCCTCTAGTTATGGTGAATCCGTAGAACGAATGAGTACCGAGGAGTTGGAGATAGGCAAGCAATGGTTAAATGATACATTTTTTCTTATAAGGTAAATCGAAGAGTCTAAGCAGTATCTTTTTTGGTACTTTTCATAATTCATATATTATTACTAGTAATGCATATCTGGGTTCATAGTATTTCCCTGTGTTGACTTTAGGGCTGGTCATTGATAACATGTGCCTTTTGATTTTAATTTTACATGGCAGGTTTGTTTCAAGAATGATCTTAAGTTTTCCTTCTAAAAAGAGAATGATGTTAAGTTTGTAACGGAAAGATATATGCATCTGGTCATTGTATTTTGGAACTATCCGTGAAACATTCTAGTTATACATGATCGTTTGTCTTATAAATAAATAAAGCCAGAGTAATCAATTAGTTCTGTGATCTGTTAAGAGTGCAAGGAGACGCGAAGAAAATTTCCTTGGCATGATCAGATCTTGTTTCTGTGGGGTTTTTTTTTTTTTTTTGTTGTGATTTTCTCATGATCATCTTTATAACATTAGATGCAATTTCACACCAAAATAATATAGTGTACCCAAGACCAATTCTCTATTACATACGCTTAAAATTTCATTCAATATTTTTGTTCAATACTAAATTAACCAAAGTTCAAAAGGAAACTGGATATTATAAGGTCAGAAAAGGTTCTCCAATGAAGATCGTACCACTAAAAGAAAAATACTCTTACATGTTATAGTCTACTTTCTGATTAATCAAGTGCAAGAAAAGTTGACGTTTTAACAAAATTTATTCTTTGATGCCATTTTAGTCACGATTAATCATTTTCTTTTTCCTTTTCTCATTCCATGAACCTTTCTTTTGGTGTGCTTTTGAAAGTGATTTTTCTCTTGTTCACTGGACTAGGTGTGAAAATGAATCCCTCCCAAGTATTAATTGGGTCCTGGATCTTGCAAAAGCAGCAGTTTTAAGGCATGGAGTTACTGGACTGGTAATTGACCCTTATAATGAGCTTGATCATCAGCGGCCTCCAAACCAGTGAGTGTTTTCATTACGTTTTTTCTTTGAAGCTGCAGTAACCCATGGTTTCTTCTGTGGCCTTCAACCACTGACTGTCTGTGTGTAACTGATGACTATGCTTTCTTAGATCTCATTGGTAATATTTTGCCCTTCCTGTAACTTATCTTTTCTTTTTTGGTTTTGATGTTTCCCTATCTTCCTGAACAGATTCTGTGTCATTTGTTTTTCCTTTAGCAGAGTGTTTTGTTATATTTAATGAGAAAAAAAACTTGTTGATATTTTAATTTTGGAGGCTCTCAAGGAGCAGTTCCAACATTTTTTTTAATTAAATTCTGCATTGCACTATTTGAGATGATTAATTGCGCTTGCGTAAGTCACTAACTGACATTCAGTTGATTAACTTCAATGGTACTCAAGAAGCACCCGAAACATGAAAGAGACCAGTAAGTTAGTTAGAATCATATGGGCTAATTAAGTTACTGAAATAACAAGTTTTATCAATTAAATCTACACAGTAGTAAGATTGCAGTCGTCATCTATTTGGCACAGTTTTGACCTCAAACCTCTTCTGCTTCATGACTTGCTTGTTTTTCCTATGCTCCTAGCAGCACGGTCAGAATTTGCTGTGTTTTCCAAAGCATCATTTGTGTGGTGATATATCTCAACTTTGGACTTCTGAAATATTAATTTATTTCTCCCGCTGGCTGCCCTGCAGGAAGATAAAAACTGCAATATTTGGACTTTGATTTTTGCCATGTTTATCGAACATTTAACTAGAGTTTGAAGTTTATTTGTGACAGGACTGAAACAGAATATGTGAGTCAGATGCTGACTAAGGTCAAGCGGTTTGCTCAACATCATGCTTGCCATGTTTGGTTTGTCGCACATCCGAGACAGGTTCTTTATTTAAGGCTTGATTGGATAATTATTTTGTTTTTGGTTCCTATTTTTGGAAAATTAAGCTTGTAAACACAACTTCCACCTATGTATTTCTTTATTTTGCATCTACTTTTTAAAATTATTTTCAAAAGGCTAAAATTTGAAAACTAAAAAAAGTTGCTTTTGTTTTTAAAATTTAGGAGTTTAAATGTGTTTTTAAAAAAAGTTAAAACATGCTAAAAAATTGTAATCAAGCAAGCATAATTTTCAGAAATAGAAAACAAAAAATGAAATGATTATCGAACGGAGCTTAAACTATCCTTCATTCAATAATCAGTAAAGGTCAAGTCAAGAAACGGAATTTTGAAAATTCTTAGACTGTTAATAAATTACATATGATGTGACTCTTAGATAATCAGTTCAAAGAGGAGTAAATTGAGAAGAAAGAGTGACAAACTCGTCTGAATATTGTTTGGTTTCCTCGAGCCTACTGCCTACATTTACAGGGCCACACTCAAAGATAAAACTTAAAAAATTTTCTTTTCCCAACTCAACTCCATGATTCAAGAGATTTAACCAAAACCAAATGAAAGTATTTGGTTCTACAATAATTAACAAACATCGACTTTAGAAAAAAAAAAAAAATTGAACTTAAATCATTTATCTTTGCCACCCAAAATAAAACCATACACTTGATCTTTTTTATCCCTTTGTTGCATATCCTTGACAGGCTAGCCATTCTAATGTCAGTCTTTCTCATATCTTTTCTGCTTTTTTTGTCTTCTCGTCTTTTCTTACATTTTTGTTGCTCTGTTTACAGTTGCAGAACTGGTCTGGAGGTGCCCCTAATATGTATGATATAAGTGGAAGTGCCCACTTCATAAACAAATGTGATAACGGAATTGTTATTCATCGCAACAGGGATCCCGAATCTGGCCCTGTTGATCTCCTACAAGTGAGTACAGAAGTGGATATCACATCAGAAAAAAATACGTTTCTTTGATTTCTATTCACATTAGTCTTCTGTATCATTGTTACTTGTAGGTATGTGTACGGAAAGTAAGAAATAAGGTTGCAGGAACAATTGGAGAAGCTTTCTTGGAATATAATCGGTACGTCAAGATCCTAATGCAAAGTGTTTTATGAATCCACATATTGATGTTCACTTCTTGTGGTGATGAATTAATTGTATTTGAAACCAAGGATGTTTAAAGCACATATTATAAGATTTATAAGAAAGAAGAACATTAGGTAACAAAAGAACATTAGGTAACAAAAATGTTTTCGCACCGGACGAGTTCAATATTTAAAACTAGTCACCTCTCATTGTTTTGTTTTAGTGGTACGCTTTGGGAGGATTTATGAGCAAAAGCCACCACTTGTGTCTTTATGGGACTCGGTCTCTAACGCCTTTTCTAATTATCAGCTAGGCGTCATTCTTTTGGATTGGAGCCATTTTCTTTAGGGGCATCCTCTCTCTGGACTGTCTTTTTGTAGGCCCTTTTTGTACTTCTTGTATCTCTTTTCATTTTTCTCAATGAAAGCGTAGTTTCTTAGAAAAAAAAAGAAAACCTTGAACTATTCATCTAGAGGGCTTGCAAGTAACGGTACCCTCCCTTTATTCCGTGTTTGATAGCGTGCCAATTTATCTCTCTGCTTTCATGTGCTTCCCTAGTTCTTGGCACCTTTTGTTGCTACGATTGACAATGGTTTTGTGGATGTGCTCGTCAGGGTAACTGGAGAATTCTTGGATGCCGATGAACCAGCTAGAATAGAACAGCAACTTAAGAGGTCAAAATCTTGAGAGGAGGTACGCAATCCAAGGCTTGGTGTATCCACAATGAAGCTGATTACTTGTAAAAGCCTTCACAGGTGTTATTAAGATCATTCGTCGGGTGCAATACCGTAAATTATCGATAAATATCGAGCTTTAATTTTTTATACAGATGCCATATTATAGGAAATGTTGATCTGTTCTTGGTGATTCATATAATGTAAGGAATTTATGAAGTTCATGGATGGGTGTAGAGTAATCTTAGGAAATTTTGGTGACGTTATTTTAACGAGAAGCTTATGTTTTATGATGTAAAATTACGATGAAAATTTTTGTTCGATATGGGTGCAACTGTGTAGTATTGAAACCCGCTTTCAATGACAAGGCCGGTGAATTGATATTACACAATTTTAACCATCCATATTTATCAGCCAACTCATTTCCATCTTTCTTTTTAAAGTTTACCCTCTTCATAGCTTCTTGAACTTCTTTTAGGGTCTCGCTCAGGAGTTCAAGAACATACACTCTTCTGATATACAACGTCAATGATTTTGCTCTATCTTCAGTTTCATCTTATAAATCACATGTTGGGGCAACGAAAACAAGAACTTCTAAATTCGTAGCATTAAAACCGTTTTTGTAAACACTAAGATTAGGGGATTCCTTATGGAAGAACATTACAAATCCATGAGAGAGGAAAAGGCAAAGTATGAATATTGGTGTGAATGTAATATAATGTAGTAATAAAATGGGTTTATGACAAGGCAAGAACATAAAAGACAATGTTGTCATTCCAGCTGATGATCACTCGAATGTGTAAAGAACAAAACAATTTGACAAATTTCATTGTCGGTCCACCCCACCTCATGAATCTTGCTTTTCCCACATGCATTGCTGTTTATTTAAAGTTTATGTTCTTACCTCTATTTTTCTTTTAATATCATTGTTCTCTAAATAATATCATTGTTCTCTAAATATTACATGACATGCGTCACAATTACCTCTTAATCTTTCAATTATTCAATAATTAATTGAGTTTAAAATTTCATTTTTCTTTTAAAAATTTGAGGGGATTGAAATCTACCCATGAGAAAAGATACTAATGTTTCACTATTTGAACCATGTTTAAGTTGACAAATTTGTTAAACTCGTCAAGGCATATATATTGTAGATGTTCGAATTTCAACTCTCAAGTTGTGTTAAACTCAAAGATAAAAGTTGACAAATTAAAATTAATATAAATGTAATTAAAAAAAAAGCCATTTCTTTTTTATAAGAAACCATAAAATATATAATCGCTAGAAGAAGGGGTTGAACCTTCAACCTTGTGGTTAACAGCCACACGCTTTAACCAACTGAGCTATTCCAAYAATTTGTAATTAAAAATTAATTTAGCATTAAAATTAACTAAAATTAGTGTACAATATAGCATAATAAGGGGTTTTTTAATTTTTAAATAAGGATATTGTTGAAATTTTTTTATACAATTATAAGTACTTCATACCTAACAAATACATCTATCCAAATATTTTAAGGCATCCTACTAAAAGAAAAAAAAATTCCAGGCATCTCATAATATTTGTGTTTCAAATACAAACATAAAAAAAAAAAATACAAACATAAAAAAAAAATACAAACATAAAAAATGTCAAGCATCCAAATTCTCAAACATCTACAAGGAACTCATGTATTTCGATTTCCTCAAAATTATTCTGACTCTTTTTAGCGTTATCACTAAACGATAAAAACGTCCATAAATTTTAATTAAAAAGACAAGATAGGAACGATAACAAAATTTTCAAAAACATATAAATCAAAACTAGAATTAAGCCACCCAAACTAAAAATATAATCTAACCAAAAAAATATAAAAACATTCAAGATAATAAAAAAAAAAACATTGGTACCATCCCAAATTCCCAATCCCATGATTAGTTTCAGAAAAAAAAAATTATGATTAGAATTTGACTGGTTCAACACAAAAACTAAAATAAAAAAGACTAGTCAAATATTTTAAAATATGTTAGAAGAAAAACAAAAATTCTTTGTATTATTCTGTAGAGCATCCAATAGATTAAAGACACGCGTCCTGCCATGTAGGATACAGCCACATCTGATCCATCCAATCAGAGAATCTGTGGGCCCAAAACGATCTCAATCAGAGCACAAACTGCTGTCGTCCAGGCTAGCACAGCCCCTCCCTCGTGATTCAAAAACGAATCCCAACGGCTCCTCTGCGTTGGATACAGGTAAGTGACCGTTGGTGGGGTTTTATTATTATTTTATTATTTTTATTTTTAAAAGTTTTTCTCCAAAAAAAATTAAATTATAATTAAACCCCCCCATATATAACCGTTACAACTTCGTCTCTTCCATTTCATCAAAATCAAATCAAATCAAATCAATCCCTCTTCCTCTTCTCTCACTCAGCGTTTCAGAGCAGAGAAAATCGATTCGGCACCAGAATCAAAGACGTGGGTTTTTTTTTTTGTTTTGTTTTGGTTCATGTTCTTCAATTTTTTCTTTTTACTCTGTTTTTTCCTCTCCGTTTTGTTAATTTTGTTTTTGGTTTTGCAGTTTGATTTCTTGTTGATCGCCATGACTGTGGAAGTTGTTAACGTTGAAGGTGCTCCAATGCCGGCGGCGGCAGCGGCGGTGGAGGTTCCAGAAGAGCCGAAGAAGGTAGTTGAAGAAGCGAAGGAGAAGGTTGTGGAGGAGGCGACGGCCACCATTGAAAAGAGCTCTTCTTACAAGGAAGAAAGCAACCATCTCTCGGATCTGAAGGAATTCGAGCGAAAGGCCCTAATCGAGTTCAAATCCAGACTCGAAGAAGCCATTCTCGGCAACAATCTTATCAAAAAGGACGATTCTCCCCCAGAAATCGAGAAAGAAACAGAGCAAAAACCAGAGCAGAACGAGGAGACGTCGCCTCCTCCACAACCTTCTCCAAAGCCAGCGGAAGAAGACGAAAAAACCCAGAAAACCGATGAAACTTCCGAAGAAAAAAATGAAAATAAGAGCAAAATGGACGCGGAAATTTCTCTGTGGGGGGTGTCGCTGTTGCCAAACAGGGGAGTAGAGGGGACAGATGTGATTCTCTTGAAGTTCTTAAGAGCCAGAGAATTCAAGGTAAACGAAGCATTCGAAATGCTTCAGAAAACCCTCTCATGGCGGAAGAAATCCCACATCGATTCGATCCTGAAGGAGGAATTCCCCACCGATCTGAACTCGGCGGCGTGTATGAGCGGCGTGGATCGCGAAGGGCACCCAGTTTGCTACAACGTCTTCGGAGTTTTCGACGACGAAGAGCTCTATCAGAAGACGTTCGGAACAGAGGAGAAACGAGAGCAGTTCTTGAGGTGGAGATGCCAAGTTATGGAGAAGGGGATTCAGAAGCTCGATCTGAAACCCGGCGGCGTCTCTTCGTTGCTTCAGATCAACGATCTCAAGAACTCGCCGGGGCCGGCGAAGAAGGAGCTGAGAATCGCTACCAAACAAGCCGTGGGGATTTTGCAGGACAATTACCCTGAATTGGTCGCCAAAAACGTAAGCCAACTCCCATTTTTCTGAGCTTTATTTATTATTATTTTTTTTGCATAGAACTTCTCTGAAATCGGTTGGATTTTTGTTTGCAGATATTCATCAATGTTCCGTTCTGGTACTATGCACTCAACGCTCTGCTCTCTCCATTCTTAACCCAAAGAACCAAGAGCAAATTCGTCATCGCTCGTCCCGCCAAAGTAACCGAAACCCTTCTCCGGTAAGTAAAATTTCTATCCGTGCTAAGATATCCATGCATGAATTAAATTTATCCATTCTATAAACTCTCCACAGGTACATCCCGGCTGAGGAAATCCCGGTCCAGTACGGCGGCTTCAAGAGAGAAAACGAGGAGGAGTTCACAGCCGAAGATGGCGCCGTCTCGGAGCTCAACCTCAAGGCCGGAGCAACCGCCGCCATCGAAATCCCAGCACCTCAGGTACGAAATCAACTCTGTTCTTGACATCTTCTTTGATTTCTTTGCTGGGTCTGCAAATAATTTGTGATTCCGGTGGTTCGAGGAACAGGGGGAGAGTACCCTGATCTGGGATCTGAGCGTCGTTGGATGGGAAGTGAATTACAAGGAGGAATTCGTGCCGTCGGATGAAGGGTCGTACACCATTATTGTACAGAAGGGGAAGAAGATGAGTGGAAGTGAAGAACCAGTGAGGAACAGCTTCAGGAACAGCGAAGCAGGGAAGATTGTGCTGACAGTGGAGAATGTTTCCAACAAAAGGAAGAGAGTTCTGTATCGATTCAAGACGAAGAAGATGGAGTGAGTGAGATTTTTTTGCTCTGTTTATACAAATTTAGTGAGGAATTGGAGTGAAAAGAGAGTATTCTTTTGCAGGATATTATTGTTGTAATTTGAGTTGTGTTGAAGTCTTTTTTTGGCTTACAGGAGTGATCTGTGATGTGATGATATTCTTTGTTATTGATTCTTTGTTCTAATGAATAATTTGGGATGAGGGTTCAAAATTATGTTCTTGGTGTTGAGTTCATTTTTGTGGATATCTGTGGTAGATGAAATAGTAACAGTTTTGCTTTGGTTTTAAGTTCATTTTTTGAAAATTGTGATTAGGTAAAATATAGATTTCTATTTACAATCTACGATTAAACATACTTATAGCTTAAACATGCGTGTATATAATATATATATATGCTTGTAAAGTACATGGCCCTTATTTTGGTACAGAAATAGGATATGACGACATGTATAGTTTACAAAACACACGTACAAACAATATAATATCACAGACTTATTTCAACAAGATGTATCTATTAGAGGGCGGGTATGCTTTGCTCATGCCTAAAGAAATCGTAAGGATCAACCTTGGTCTTAACATGCACTAACCTGTTAAAATTGTTCCCAAAATACTTCAACCCCCAGACGCTCGCTTGCTTGTAGCTTGTCTTTCCAAACTTGTTATTCGATCCAATATCAAGGTCTCTGTAATTGGCATATGCAGCCCTCGGCGATTTGGAAACGAAAGGAGTCATGTAATCGTAAAGCTCTCGTATCCAACGCAGATGCCTTTTCTCAGCATCAATGCCTTGTTCTTCCCACCCGGCAATGTAACCAATCTTGTACAAATATCCAGCTCTGTGTGAGAAAGGAGTTTCCGACTCGGAAATCTGGCTCATTCTCCCACCATAGGGAACAAATATAATATTTCCCCCTTCTATATCTTGAGAATCTAATCTCTTCCATATGCCCTGGACTACAGCTTCAGACATGGGTTCCTTAACGTAGTCAGATTTGATTTTTGAGCTCGTGTTGGTGAGAGGTGTTCTACTTAGCAGAGCTTCCAAAGTCAGCTCAGTTGGAAATCCAACACCCATGAGGACAGTTGACTCAATCCAGCTCGTTTCTATACAGTCTTTTTTTGCCAAATCCAACTCAGGAAATTTTGTGTTCAAGATTGACAGAAGCTCATCTGCCTTTCCGAGAAACAAAGAGAAGAATGTAGCAACTGGGTTTGTTTTGCCTCCTTCTTGACTTGTAATTTTCCCACCTAACATCAAGAATTGAGTTCAAATCTGTATGTTGTAGGGATTTGATGAGGGAAAAAACCCATTTCAGACTTCTTTGTATATTTGATGGAGAAAGTTTATGTTTTCATTTTTCAGTTCTTAAGTTTATTTTAACATTAAAATTTAATTTGATTAAGTTATTACAAGTTTAGTGGCATTTTTTTAAAATTTGTAGACCCACTAAATACAAAATCTAAGAGTCATCCAGTTAAACACAAGATTAACAACTTCATGAATTTTAAAAATATTGAATAGGTTGAGGATCTATTGGACACACAAACTGAAATTTAAAAGATTTATCAGACACTTTCAAAGTTTAGAAACTTATTAATTACACAAAATAAAAAAATTCAAGAGTTAGACATATTATATAAAGTTAAAAAAATTATTATCTAGCTACAATTTTAAAAGTTGAAGAAATAAATAACAAATAACTCGAGAGGGAAAAGGTTAAACAATACCAAGCCAAAGGATGCCTAGGAATAGATTTTCATCCAATTTGTTGGCCACATATTGCCACCGATGGGTTATCTTGACTGCACCTTCCTCCAAAGTTCTGTTAGCTGAGCAAAGTGTCACAGTCGCGGGCACGGGAACCAGCTTCACCTTCCACGCCACCACGATTCCAAAGCTCCCTCCGCCGCCCCCTCTAATGGCCCAAAACAAATCCTCCCCCATCGACTCTCTATTGTGAAACTTTCCACTCGCATCAACCAAGTAAGCGTCAATGACATTATCAGCGGCAAGACCATATTTCCTCAACAACAATCCATATCCGCCGCCGCTAAAGTGTCCACCAACCCCAACTGTGGGGCAAATACCCGCTGGAAACGCCAACGTTCGACTTTTTTGGGCTATACTATAGTAAAGTTCACCTAGAGTTGCTCCAGACTGAACCCATGCAGTGTTGTCTTTGATGTCAATAGAGATGGACCTGAGATTTATAAGGTCAACTATGATGAATGGGAGGTGGGCTACGTAGGAAAGACCCTCGAAATCATGGCCACCACTTCGAGTCCGGATTTGAAAGCCATAGCTTTTGGAGCAAATGACGGCTGCTTGGATGTGGGAAACATGTGATGGTGTTACGATGAGGAGTGGCTTTGGAGTTTCAACTGTTGAGAATCTAAGGTTTCGAATGGAGAAGTCTAAAACAGAAGAATAAGAGGAGTTGATTGGAGTGTGTATGACTTTGGAGATAGAGTAATTACTATATTCGAGAGAGTGATCGAGGAGACATTGAAGAAACGATTCGTGTTTATTAGGAAAAGCTGAGGCCCATAATGAAGATGAAGATAGAAAAATGAAGGCAAGGGAAAGAGAGATTAAGGGAGAAGGGTAGTTCATGTTCATGGTTGGGTTATTGTGATTTTTGTGATTGAAAGCTCCACTATTTATGGTGTGGTTTGGTAGGAAGGATTAATGTTGGAAGAAGGAAGAGATAAAAAAGAAGATGCAAAAATCAACTTAATTTAATTTATCTTGCGTCATTCACTATATGTTTATCTCCTTTGACCAAATCATATCTTCATTCAAAAAAATTTGATCCGAGTGGAAGATGTTTTTGTTTCACTCATTTTGAATTTAATATCAAATTCAAACTTTAAAATTCAATTCCACCGACTAAAGTAAATATAGTGAATAAAGAAAATATAATTTTTCACATTCACCGAAAAATATTACTTTGGTGCTTACGGGTGCCTATTAATTTTTGTATTGATCATCGATAAAAATTTGATAACTTTTTAGTTTTTTGGAAAAAAGAAAAAAAACATCGTTTCCTACATTTCTCTTTCATATTTGTCAAGATGGATATTGATCGATAAACACCTAAACATTTTTAAAACACATGAAATAAAGAACAGTATATAGAATAATTTTAATAAAGAAATTATTGGATACACATCGTGAAGGAGCTCTCGTTATCTTTTAATAAGTATTTCACGATTTTTATAACGGTAGTGTAAAAGTTACATTTAGATCACAGTTTGTGCTTGTGTAAAGTTAGACTAGAGATCATAGTTCTTTCCATAGCCGTAGTCTATTATAGACATTTAGACCATGATTGCTAAAAATCATGGTCTATAAAATCCGTTTTGTCGACCACAGTTACATCAATTTCTACTGTGTAATATTATGATTTTTTTAAACAGCCGTAGTTGAATATCTAAAAGCTAATGTGGCCTATTCCAAATTTCGTTAGCTACCCATAATGAAGATTAAGGTAGAAAAATGAAGGCAAGAGAAAGAGGGATTAAAGTAGAAGAGTAGTTCATGTTCATGGTTGGGTTATTGAGATTTTTGTGATTAAAAGCTCCACTATTTATGGTATGGTTTGGTAGGAAGGATTAATGTTAGGAAGAAGAAAGATTAAAAAAAAAAAAAGGAAACAAAATTCAATTCAATCTAATTTATCTTGCATCATTCACTATATGTTTATTTCATTTGACCRAATCTTATATTCATTTAAAAAAATTGATAGAGCTAATGGAAGATGTTTTTTTTTATTTCAACTCCTTTTGAACTTAACCAAATTAAATTTTAAAATTCAATTTGACCGACTAAACTAAATACAAGTCAGCAAAATACATTACATAAGTTTATAATAGACATAAGCTACTCCTCTCATTGTCGATTGATTTTGAGAAGGAATCCTATGAATATTGATATGRTATATTAGAGTCGGTCAAAAAATGAGATCCGACCAAGATCGATGAGCCAAAAGAACCACGATCCTGAGGGGTAGGTTAAGGATCYCATATGGAAAAGAAAAAGGGATCTTGTATAGATTTATAATAGACACGAACTACTCCTCCTAATGACATCTCTATGCTGATCATGAATAAATATTTCACAACTTTTAATTTCTTGAAAAATAGAAAAACTATATATTTTTTATGCCTATCTCTCTCCTACCTATAAAAAATCTAATAGTAATACGTAAGAGATGTGCGTTGACACTTAAGCACCATAATATTCTAAAAAAAAWAATAATTTTATTAAAGAAATTGCTTTCACATAGAAAAAGAGCTCTTCTTATTTTTTATATGGTCTGTTTTTATTGGCTAAATATATATTAATAGGGTCTATTGATTAACTAAGTATAATATAGAAAAAAAAGAAACAATAAAATAAGTAAAATCTTTCTTCAACAGTAAGGAAACAAGTACAAAATCATAGTTGACCAATATCAAAGAAGAGTTTTAACTCATGCATTAGGGTTGTGTAAATTAAGTTTTAAGTTTGGTGTTAAATTTTATTACCACAAGCAACTAATTTTTTTTATCCTATAGATTACATAACTTACCCAAGTTAAAATTTATGAATTTTACTTTTAATAATATACATTTATTTTTTTAAATTATAAACCTACAAACTAGATATAGGTTATCGTACAAATTTGTACAAATCATTATTTTTTTATAATCCAAATACTAAGTAAACTCTGGCTTTCCACTTCAAAYGTATAACAAATGAATAAAAATGTGAGCCAAATATTCTCRCAAAGTCTTTGTTAAAAAATATTTTTTTTTCGTTTTTTTAAAAGTCTTTGTCAACTACAACATTGAACTAAATTTCAAAATCTTTTTTATTATGTTCTTCTTACATGAATATAATTTATTGGTTGAATGATTTAGTTGTTTAATTGAAACAATTTATTTTTTTCAATACAACCTGTAGGGCAGGAGATTCGAATTCACGATCAAGTTAGGTACTTTAATTTTTCGAGCTATATTCAAATTAGCARCTAAACCTTTAAATTTTTTTTAATGCTTGAGTTGATAATTTAATTTTCTTTTAAGTGGAGTGAAATCGTTTGTTTGATAAATGGTTTTAGTAGAAGACAAGTGAAATTAATAAGTGTAATATTTTGCATTTCATTTTCAAAAATATTATTTTTTATCTCATTTTTAAAAACATTATTGGAATATGTAATTTTTTACMGGAAAAAAAGAAACCCAATACGATAAGTAATCTGACTATTCCAAATGTTTACGAATCAATTTATTTTATTGAAAATTTCATCTGACTTTGGTAATTAAAAAAGAAAAAAAAAACAAGAGTTCCGCAATAATTTTTTTAGAAAATTTCATAGCTTTGACCACTGATAACTTCAATATATTAAATGGATGAAAAAATATATTTTGTTACCGCTAAATTAACATTAAATTTTAATTTGTAATAATTTGATCATTGAACTTTAGTAATTAGTAACAATTTAGTGTCCTCTAATTTAAAATTTGTAACAATTAATTTCATACTGTGGAAATATGATTAAAATTAAGTACCACTTTTTATTCTTTAATCATTTAATTTTGTAATTTATAAATACATTTGATCTCTCATTGGTTTATAGATTACATATACAAGAAATCACTTCACAAAAATTTTTGTAATAGAGACTAAATCATTACAAACTTTAAATATAGTGTGATATATTAAAATTTAGAGACGACTAAATTGGTACCAATTTGAAAGTACAAGAATTAAATCGTTATAAATTAAAATTTAAGACTAAATCATGACTTCAATAAAAATAAATGAAAAAAAAGATTTTTTAACCATTTTTTTAAAAAGCTAACTTGAACCTAACCTTGTAAGATATTTATGATAACTTTGAAAAAAAAAAACTACCATACTTTTGAAAGAATTACTAATTTATATAATGTGTTTTAGTATGGTCTCCTAGATAATTTTACATAATTAAAGTGATTTTTAAAAAATCTATAATATTTGGTCATAACAAAAACTTTTAAAAAATTGAAGTATTTTAAATTTATTTTTAAAGAAATATTTGAGATGATTATTTAAAAGTTATTTAAATGAGACACTTTCTAGTTTTAGTACAAAAATGATTATTAACAAATAATTTGTTTCATTTTATTATTATTATTATTTTTAAATGGTAAAATATACCAAACTCATCCCATGCTACCTTCCCTTAAGTTATATATGTTAAGAATATAACTATAATTAATTTTACTAAAAGAAACTATAATTAATTAATCTAGATGTCAGTTTTTTAATAATTCACTAATAATTTTACAGCTGAACTTCGACTTTGTTGAAGTTTGCTTCGGATTTATTTATTTTTTTTGTTGGGTTGTTATTTTTATATTCTTTGATGTTTTTGTTCCTATTCTTTTTTGTTGTTTTTCTTTGTTGGTTTGATGTTCTACTTATTATTGTGAATTCAGGTAGTTCTTCTACAGTTTTTTTTTTTTTAACCTTGATTTGAGGATGGGGCAGGGATGACAATGGAGCAGGGCTGGGGCGAATCCTATCTCGACTCCCGTCGATGGAGTGGGTAACATAGGCGGGAATTCCTTCAACGAACAATCCATCCCCGATAAAATGAATATAATTAATATATTATTAATATTACTATATAAAATAAATATTTAATATTAAACGGGACAAGATTGGGGACGAGAGGACGGGTGAGAATACTCTTCCCCGTTCCCACTGAGAACCCCGATTAAGATCCTTGGTCTGGCCTTGTATCCAATCAAACTGGAGATTTTCCAACCTGGTTGGGTCGGTATCTGGCCCCACGAGTTGTTTTGCCATCCCTAATTGCGAGATAGTTCTTTTTTCCTTGCCATATATCTTACCTTTGAAAAAAAAACTTCAATATTTTTTACACAAATAACAAATAAATACACACGCAGTGAACATAGCTAACAGTTAATCTATCTCTATTTATTCTATAAATTTATAAGTTTGAATCATGACCTTATATTTGTAATGTCTTATTTTTAAAATAAAAAAGACATCTAATAATTTAAAACTATCAACTACCATTACTAGCGATATCGATAATTAATACATACCAATTTTTATGACACAAAATATGAGGGAAACAAGTCGTAAGTATAAGATTTATGAGGAAATTTTGATATGCTAGTTTTGTTTGGAATATTATATAAGAGCAAAATGAATTTATACATAAATATATCATTTTAAAAATATAAATAATTTAAGTATATTCTAGTGTCATATTAAAATTATTAAATGAAATATAATGTTGTAATAGTTATTAAATTATTGGGCTTTTTAGAATAAAAATGTTCGAGCATGTTTGGTGTATATATGAAAATTATTATTTTACCTTCTCATTTTTCTTTTCCAAAAACACGAAAACTGTTCCTGAAAATAGAATTCGTATACATCTAATCTAACAATTATAAAATCGCCAACTATTTTCTAAAAAATAAAAATAAAAATCACCAGCTATGAAATTGCCAAACACAAGTTTTTAAATTACTTTTAAAATTGAGATTAAGTTTTTGCAATATCAACTTCATCTTTGAGTTGGCTTTACAGAGAATGGGTTACTTTCGTGG